AGGGTTTGGGTCACCCGCAAAAGGGGGAGGAGGTCTTGTTCAGTGGTGAAAGGTAAAATTTGTTACTACCGGTTCTGTGGGCGTGGCTTGGTGGGGGGTAATATGACTGAGTGGGCGTGGCCAACTTCTTTTTTTTTTTTTTACTTTTAAAACCATTTTTTCTACAACCTCTTGAAGAGATTGTAAAAAAATGCTTTTAAAAGCCTCTGACGATCCCAGCTGACTTGCCTGATCGGCAGAGGCTTTTTTCTCTTTTAAAAACATTTTTTTCTACAACCTCTTCGGCGAAGAGGTTGTAAAAAAATGCTTTTAAAAGCCTCTGACGATCCCAGCTGAGCCACACAATCATCAGAGGCTTTTTTTTTTCCTTTTAAAAGCATTTTTTCGGCCGAGGAGGTTGTAGAAAAAATGCTTTTAAAAATTAAAAAAAAGCCTTTGATGATTGCGCGGCTCAGCTGGGCAATGGGGTTTTTGCGACCGGTTCTCCGAACCACCCATCTCCATCGCTACCAGATCGGGTGATCCGGTCTGAACCGGGAGCATTTCACCCCTGGTCTTGTTCTCATATCTTTCAGCCCTGCACAGATGACTCCACAAGCTGTGGAAGCAGAGCGTGCTGATCCAGGCCCTGCCTCCAGAGGGGACCCTCCATCCATTCGAACCAGGGAATTGGTAGACAGTCATCACTGCAGCCAGAGGGGAACAGACCTTCCCAAGCCTGACTGACCGGCCTTAGCACCAAGCCAAGCCCAACACCACCCACCGGACTTAAAAGAGAGGACCCTGAGATGGACCGGTGGTCTCTCTTTGAAACCCTAGAAGACAACTGGAAAGTCTATGGGGGGAGGGTGGAAACTCACTGTCGGGTTTTCTTTCTTTGCCTCATTTACATTGTAATTAGTTAAAGGGATTCACGGAGGGATGGCATTTGGGAGTGGTTGGCACAGCAAGTCTCGAACATCTTCTGTCTGGAGGGAGGGAGAATTGTCAAGAAAGTTTGTGCTAGGGGTAGCTGCACACCCACACCATTCAAAACCACACTGAGGCTATCCCCCTTCACCTAAAGGTAAAGTTTCCCCTCGCACCTATGTGCTAGTCATTCCTGACTCTAGGAGGCGGTACTCATCTCCGTTTCAAAGCTTAAGAGCCAGCGCTGTCCGAAGACGTCTCTGTGGTCATGTGGCCGGCATGACTAAATGCCAAAGGCGCATGGAACGCTGTTACCTTCTCATCAAAGGTGGCCCCTATTTTTTTACTTGCATTTTTTTCCTGCTTTCGAACTGCTAGGTTGGCAGAAGCTGGGACAAGTAATGGGAGCTTACCCCGTTACACAGCACTAGGGATTCGAACCACTGAACTGCCTACCTTTCAATCGACAAGCTCAGTGTCTTAGCCACTGAGCCACCGCATCCCCCTCCACATAAACCTTCCCCTAGGCTTGCTCTGTGGCACTAAGGCCCATGCAGTCATACCACCGTGCCAATTCCATGTCGGAGGGGGTTGTGCCCCCTCAGGCAATTCCCTCACGGAAGAGGTAGCAGAGATTTCCATACCCCAAGCCCTGATTGTGACTCACAAACGATGCTGCCCAGTTGCCCAGTGAGGCAGAATACGTTGCGCTGATGGTCTCATTACTGGGAATCCCAGTGCTCGCTGTGTGCAATTTCAGAAATATTCATAGCCTGAGCTTGCACACTGGATGGCCTTTGGCCTCACAAACCCTGGATGCACTAAATTAAGAGCTAAGGCAGGTTCAGGAAGCAACCCTTGGAAATGGGCAGCCTTTGATTATCTGCTAAGGCACGATCACGGCTGCGAAGAATTTTGGGACATGTGCTTGCTTCAAACCTGACTGAAAGCTGACAGAAAGTGACATCAAACATCTAAAAAAAGAATTGACACAGAATATTGGGTACTATACATTTCTTTCCTACTTAAAAGAAATGTTTGCCCTGGCTGCTAGACCTTCATGGTGTCAAACCTCAGTTTTCCCTTGGCGTTTGCCTTACCGACCTCTTGAGACATGGGTTGAAAGCTCTCCTTTCGGGAGCCACTGCCATAACCATCATGGGAGTCCTTCTCTGCAGCCTCCACCCGGGTATCTTCCCTTGACCCAGTAGCCTGCAAAATCACCTCCCATGTCAACAGACACCCAAGTAAGGATGCCAGGCAAATATCCCTCATGATGGACCAGGTATACAGGAAGTACAGAGACCATTCTGATAGTGCATAGGTTGGGCAATTTATGTAAATATATATCAGAGTTTGTTGCAGAAAATTAAATCCAGAAAGCACACACAGGCAGACTGATGCAGCAGGAGTCATTAATTTCTTTATATGCATAATAACAGATGAAGTATTTACAATACCAATATAGATTTCTTCCAACATAGCAGTTACAACACAAGGCAGGAGAGAACAGTTAGTTTCATTTCAACAGAGCAGACCAGCAGACAAGTTCACACACTGGTTTCAGTTTTGATTCTCTGCACAGACTCAGAAGCTGCAGACTAAGACACGCCCTGACTTCAGTCTGTCTCAGCTCCCAATTGGCTGACCTTGTTACTATGTCCTATTCCAGTTGATGAATATACTCTGACAATAGATACAGCCCAAAAGGGGGGACTTGTGGGAAACCCATCCCCCCTTAGAAGAATGAAATATTTTGGCGAATATTAAAAGGCAGATATTAAAGGGATATTTGGTGCTGTCTCTTTTCTAGGTGTCTGCATGTTTCCTTGGAGGAGGAGGTTGTGGGTCTACGTCAGTGGTGAAATCTAAAATTTGTTACTACCAGTTCTGTGGGCGTGGCTTGGTGGGGGAGTAATGTAACTGGGTGGGTGTGGCCATTTTTTTTTTACTTTTAAAACCATTTTTTCTACAACCTTTTCAGTGAAGAAGTTGTAAAAAAATGTTTTCAAAAGGCTCTGACAATCAGGCAACTAAGCTTGGATCGTCAGAGGCATTTAAAAGGAAAAAAAGGGTTTTTTTTCCTTTTAAAAGCCTTTGAAGATCCCAGCTGAGCCACGCTATCATCAGAGGCTTTTTTTTTTCACTTTTAAAAGCATTTTTTTTGGCCAAAGAGATTGTAGAAAAAATGCTTTTAAAAGTAAAAAGAAAAAAAGCCTCTGATGATTGTGCAGCTCAGTTGGGCATCGGGGGGGGGGTTCAGGGATTTTTGTTACCAGTTCTCCAAACCACCCACCTCCATCGCTACTGGATCGGGCGATCTGGCCCGAACTGGGAGCATTTCACGCCTGGTCTGCATATTTCCATCATTGGGGAGAAATTGGTTGCCCAGTTTTAATGGGGCTGCTCCTGGTTGGGTTAGATTGGGCAGCAGGGGTTTGTTAGATGTGTGCTGCTTCTTTCTTGGATTATTGTGTTTCCTTTTATGTGTGACATACCTCCATTTGTCTTCCTCCAAGGGTTTATCAGGTTTGAGTCATTCAATGATCCCTCCGTTTGTTTTCTGGATGTCCGCGAGATTCTCAGGAGTCTTCCCCAATGTCAACCCTGAAGCTGGCCAATCTGAGGCCACTTTTTGGCTTCAGTGCTGACACACTGGAGCTGAGGGATAGGGAGGGGGGAACAGAGATAGCCAAAACAAAATACTTTCTCTTGGGAACCAAGGACATTCCCACAGGTGTTCAGGAGGAGGAGGCAACTGGACTGTCTCCTGATTGGACCATGTGACGGATTGTTTTGGGAAAGTGACAGACTATTGTTTTTAATAGAACGTTCAGAGTCCGCTTTCACCAGCCTGTACCATTATGATATATCAAAAATAAAACTATTCTTTGAGGAACTCAAAGGTTTGGTTGGCATGGGTGTATTACTTGGAACCCTGACATCCCACATGAAGAGCTTTGGTTTTCTTATCCTGCCCTTTTGTCCTTCTGATCCACATCCACAGAATGTCGCTTGCATTTTTCTTATAGATAATACTTATACAGGAGTAGAGTTTTTGGAATAAAGAGTTGCAAGCATTTCTAATATGTCCAAATTCCCTGTTTTGGTAGTAAGGCTTTCCTAATGCTGCAAGATTAACCCCCCACCCCACCCCAACCACGGATGAAAAACCAGCCACGTGTCCAGGTGTCCAGTGTTTTGTGTCTTCACCACGTTTGGGTCAGTCGGATTATTGCTGGATCCTAAAGACACCACCAAAGGCGGAATGGGACAACTGGCCATGACCAACTTACTGCGGGGCAATTCTACAATTCAATTTAATTATTTGAAATAATCAAAGAATGTATTTTAATTTTTGTCGTTCTCATTTCATTTTCTCCCTCCTTTTACGTTCTTTCTTTTAATGATTCCCTTCCACCATTTCTGTGACATTAGTGTACCTCTTGTCACATGTTGAGTTGGCCATGGCGAGTCGTCCTAGACCCCACAAAAGCTTTTCCCAGTGATGCCAAGTGTGTCTTACAAGGGGGGATTTTGGAGAAACGGAGGCCAAATGCACTGCTCAGCCTGAGCGTGAGGTCCTGCCTTGCCAATCCTCTCAAGAAAGCAGAACCGTCAGCCCTGGAGCCATTTCCCTTGGCGTCTTCAGGGCTGCCACGGTGATAGCTGGGAGAGCTGTGGGAAGGGGAGGGGGGAGGTAGAGAAAGTGAGGGCTTTGTAGCCAAAATAAGATTCTTCCCTCTGAGAACCAAGGACGTTCCCACCAGGTGTGAGGAGGCGGGAGGTGAGTCTGGATGAACTTTGGATTGTGACCTGATTGGGCCATGTGATGGTCTGAAGGGGAAGGAGGATGGAAAATGTTTTTTTTTTTTTAACTAGGAGGAAACTCGAGGGACTTTAGATTCAGGATTCTCCAGATGTGCCAATATGACATGCCTAATAAATCTGTTCTTTGAGGAATATGCCTGCCTCGGAGTTTTGATCCTGTTGGGTGTGTTACTTGGAACCCTGACAGAACTCTGGAAACAGAAGCCATTTCAAAAGGAAACCTTTATTGGAAGGTTGTGATAGCAAGAGCAAGATAGCCAGGAATTAGGTTTCCCCACTTAAAACAGTGAATTAAAGCAGTGCAGACAGAGCCCCTCCCAAAGTCCAATACATCGTCAAGCCAATCCCGAGGTGTAAAGATATTATGAGAAACTCAGGCCGAGGAGGTGATAAAGGCCGGTCTCCAAGGCAACGCTGCTGCTCTTCTCCAGAGACGAGATAAGGCACATTCCTTCCCCCCTCCCAAGGCCCCGAAAGTTACAGCAAAGCAAAGCAGGAAATAGAAACAGAAACTCCATACAGAGATCCCCCCCAAGCCTCCCTCCTCCCACCAGAATGACAGCATCCCTATAGAAATCTATGGGAACTGACATGGAGGACAGGCCTCAAGAGGCCTAGGAGGAGCATTGTGGTGACAATCTTCCCCCTCCCCTTTTTTTAATATGAAACAACTAAGAACACAATTTCACATTGGAAATGTAATGCTATTCAACTTGCCAAAACTTGGGGGGAGGGGAGGAAAGAATGCAGACACTTCAGAGACAGTCTGTGGGAGCCAAGGCCACCAATGCAGGTGTCTGCAAAAGAAGCAAACCTTTCTCATAACAAAAGGACAATTTATAATTGGACTGTGGGATCAACAAGGGGTTGGGGAGAATGTAAACCATTGTTTAACTATGCATGCTTGCACAGGAAAACCTAGAGCTGGTTTTATTTCTTCAGTGCTGAAATGGTGTATCCAATAAAGTTTTGCTTTTGGGACAACAAAGTCCCTGACAGTGCCTACTTTCTTTGGGTTCACGAGTTGGACCATTGACAAAAGGACTCACAAGACTCCAGTAACAGCGGTTTACAACTTGATAAAACTTTGAGTGTGAGTTTGGCATTAGGGGACCAGCTAAAAATGCTGGATGTCATAACATCAGCTGGGAACCATGGGAGTTATCATCTGAACACATAGCAAAGGCATAACTGCACAAGAGGAAATGTAAGATAACTGGAGAGGGTTCATCAAAGAAGCTGCTAAAGAAAAAAAAAGTCATAAAGAGCAATACACCTCAGTGCCTCTTCATCTTGAGGTAAGAGTGGACCCCTTATTTTTTTGACTCTCTAGAATAAAGTAGGGCTTCCCGCCATTCTCCTGCAGCAACATCTCATCCAGCATCCCCAATGGAAAAACTTGCTCCACTCTTTCCTCTCGTAAAAACTTGGCTTCCGGTTCTGCTAGATGAACATTCTGAAGAGCTCATCCTGTAACTTGGGCTCCATGTACAGACAGTTGGTGTAGTATCTACCCCCATTCTCACAAATGGTTCTCTGCACTATCTTCATCAGCTCTGAAACCTGCCTCTCCCACTCAGCTCCCGTGGCATTGTTGTTGAACCCACAGAAGCGGTTCCCACACATCTGGATCAGCTCCCGCAGATTCTTGTTTTTGGACTTTTGGACGTACTCCTGCAGGGAGGTCCTGCCCAAATTCTCCATGCCGGTGAAAAGGACAATTGTGTGCTTGGTGGATTTGGCCCCAAAGATATCCCAGACTCGCGCTGCAACGGCCATGTCTTCTGAGGTATAGTGCTCCACTCGGGTCACGAAAATGAGGGCATGGGGGCCAGGCCGGGAGAGCTCAATGCAAGCCCTGATCTCTCGTCGCACAATCTCATTGTAGTCTTTGCAACTGAAAATGACAGGCGTGTTGACCACGGAGATCAACGCACCCCACCAGCTTCCCTGCCCTTTTTGGCTCGTCAGGGTAGTGGTCTTGAACTCGCTCCGGCCGAGGATGGAGTTGCCTGTGCTGCTCTTCCCGCTTCCAGGCTTCCCCACCAGGATGAGCCGGAGTCCAATGTCCTTCCCTGAGAGTTTGGAAAACAGAAAAGAGCATAGTTAGATTACTGGGGGAATGGAACACAGCTGTGCAATTTCTATCACTGAAGGCAGAAATAAGCAGGCAGTGAGGATGGCAGGTGATGCCAACCAAGTTCTCTGAGTCCTCGTAGGCCCCAAATGGACCCGTTCAGGGTGGCAGCCAGAGGTGATATTCAGCTGGTTGGCACCAGTTTGGGCAAACCAGTAGGGGAAATTTGGCCTGGGTCGCTGAACCAGTAGTGACCTCTGACTGGCCTCACTCCCTGCCTGGTTACCCGGTCGCTGCTCACTCACTCATTCAATGCTCGCCCACCCCGTCTGCCCGCTTGACACTCACCCACCCCACCTGCCCGCTCGATGCTCGCCTGGCCTGCCCGCCCGCTCAAGACTCGCCCACCCCACCCATCTGCTCGAGGCTCGTCATACCCATCCCAGCCCTATATATGTTGCCTTCGCTTTGCCACACGGCCCAGGTACTCACCTCACCAGTCACCTTGCCCGCTCTGCTCAGCTCACCAAAGGTAAGCAATGCATGCCACCCACTTGCCCTTCCCCTTGGGTCAGGGGCCAAGGCTCAGGGATGCACCATTCCCTGTGGCCCTGGAGCTGCCGCCCACCTTGGCCGGGTCAGGGAATGCACTATTCCCAGCCTACGCGCTGCAGCCTACTCAGCTGGGTCAGGGAATGTGTCCCCCTTGTCGCAAGATGCCTGCAGCCACACACACACAAAAAAGATGCAGCAGTTGCAGACTTCTTGCAGTGAAAATTACTGACCTCTGGCTCTGCTCTGCTTCTTGACCAGCTGCACCGAAAAAAAGAGACGATGGCTGCAAGCATCTCGTGACAAGATGGGCGAGATGCATGCCAGCGGGGAGCCCAGAGGCAATGGCTCATTCCTGGCTGGCCTTCCCCTCTGCCACCAGCCACCATAGGAGGAAGATAAGCCCAAAGAAAGAGCTGGTCATGGGGGAGGAAGCAGGGCTAGGGCTGGGGCCTCTGAAGGAGGGGAAATGGGGCAACACATGTGACTGACAAAGGGAGAGCGGGTGGCATGCAGGATTAGGCCAGGCCTTTGACAGATTAGGCCAGGCCTGGGCAGAAAATAGGTAGAAAGAATAGCTATAAGTTCAATTTTTTTCCTACTGGGTTCTGTGTGCGTGGCTTGATGGGGAGGGGGTTGTCATGTGACTGAGTGGGTGTGGCTCTAAGTGACATCAAGTTGGACATGCCCACTCAGTCACATGACCCCCCAACCAAGCCACACCCACAGAATCGGTAGGAAAAATTTTTGAATCCCACCACTGGTGGCAGCCCCATACCTGTAGAGAGACATGGAAGGCCTACCCTGCATTTGTGCTGACCTTGCACATCTCACCGGGACATGATGGATTACATCCCAGATGTTTGAAGGAGATGGCAGATGTTATCTCAGAATCATTGTACCAGGGGTGAAATGCTCCCGGTTCAGACTGGATCAGGTGATCCGGTAGTGATTGTGGCAGGTGGATCGGAGAACCGGTAGCCATGTCATTACTTCCTGCTTTTAAAAAAGGCTCTGACGATCGCGTGCCACAGCTGTAATCATCAGAGCCTTTTTTTTAACCTTTTAAAAGCATTTTTTTACAACCTATTCACCCGAATAGGTTATAAAAAAATGCTTTAAAAAGTGTGGGGGGGGGAAGTTGGCCACGCCCACCCAGTCACATTACCCCCCCACCAAGCCATGCCCACAGAACTGGTAGTAACAAATTTTACATTTCACCACTGCATTGTACCATATCTTAAAAAAATCCTAGAGCAGCAGGGAACTGCCAGAAGATTGGAAAGAGTTGATGTGGTTCCCATCTTTAAAAAAAAGGGGGGACACACACCAGACCTAGGAAACTACAGGCCAATCAGCCTAAAAATCAATACCTGGGAAGATACTGGGATAGAAAAAAAAAAAAAACCAGATCTGTAAACATCCATAAACTAAGTTATAACTAGTACCTAGCATGCATTTGTTAAAAAGAGATCATGCCAAAGCAATCTTATTTCATTCTTTGATAAAGTGACTTAATTAGTAGACCAGTCAAATGCTGTGGATGTAGTAGACTTAGACTTCAGTAAGGGATTCGACAGAGTAGACCACAACCTACTTCTTGCTAAACTAAAAAAATGTGGTGCAGACATCACCACCACCAGATGGCTGACTAACCGTACTCAACCAGTAGTCCTTAATGGTACTGCATCTAAATAAATGGAGGGGAGTAAGCAATGGGGTACCACAAGGTTCTATCTTAGGACCAGGACTCTTCATCAATGACTCAGATGAGGGAGTAGAAGGGGAACTCATCAAATTTGCAGGTGACACTAAGCTGGCAGGAATAGCCAACAACCCAAAAGACAAGCTCAGGAGCCAAAAAGGTCTCAGCAGTCTTAAACAATGGGCCCTATCCACCAACATGAAATTTTACAGGGAGAAAAGCAAGGTTTTATATCTAGGCTGGAAAAAAACCAAAGGTACAAATACAGATTAGGCAAAACCGGGCTCAAAAACAGTAATTGCGAGAGAGACCTCAGAGTCCTAGTGGACGATCCTTTAAACATGAGCCAGCCGTGTGCGGCAGCAACTGAAAAAAACTAGCAGAATATTTGGTTGCATAAACAAAGGCATAGTAGAATCAAGATCACATGAAGTGTTAGTAGCACTTAATAAAGCCTTAATAGAGACATGTCTGGAATCCTGCATCCAGTTTTGGTCTCCGCATTACAAAAAAGAGGTTGAGACTTTGGAAAAAGTGCAAAGAAGAACAACAAAACATATGAAGAATGGTTGCAGGATTTGGATTTGGCTCATCTAGAGAAAAGTAGGACTAGGAGGGACATGGTAGCAGCCTTCCAGTATTTGAGGGGCTGCCCCAAAGAGGAAGGGGCCAATTTTTTTCCCAAAGTACCAGAAGGCAAGACATGAAATGATGGAAACTAATCGAGGAGAGACGCAACCTGGAACTAAGGAGAAACTTCTTGGCAGTGAGGACAATTAACCAGTGGAACAGCTCGCCACCAGAGGTTGTGGGTGCTCCATCACTGGAGGTTTTGAAGAAGAGACTGGACATCTATTTGTCTGGAATGGTATTGGGTCTCCTGCTTGTGGAGGGGTTTGGACTAGAAGACCTCCAAGGTCCCTTCCAGCCCTATTTTGATTGATTGAGTGATCATTTGGGGGCCAGATCATAGAACTGGGGCCATCCTGCCTCTTCTAGGTTGCCTCCTTTCCTTGAAATGACGCCTCTGCTTTGCCATCCAACAGTGCAGAATTCTTCGCTTGCAACCAGGACCTGCTCTTGACTGCTGGGGTGGGTGGAAAAAGCAGGCTGTGATTTGCCTGGGAAGGAAGGAAGGAAGGAAGGAAGGAAGGAAGGAAGGAAGGAAGGAAGGAAGGAAGGAAGCAAACAGGAAGGGATGTGTGTGTAGGTGGGCTCTGGATTATCGTCACCGGAGGTTAAAGAGGAATACAGGTTTTATAAAGAATCTTAGAGAAAATATCTACGGCTTCTCGCTTCATCTCATATGTAATGTATATAGTTTTGGTGGGAAGTTTAAAGGAACAATAGCACGTTGGTGATTGGCTAACTCCCTGGCCAGAGAAGTATATAAAGGGAGCTGTTTACTGTATGCTTTGCTGGATTTACACTGTGAATTAAAGAGCTGTTGTTACTGAAGTCCTTGCTTCTGCCTCCTCATTCGGCCAACTTAACATTGGCGATAAAGGTGGGATTGAGGTGAACAAGAAGCAAGCCGAAGAGCTGACAACAACCAATCCAGCCAGGTGGATGAGCTCAGTGCCAAGCGAGACGACTAGGATGTCTGCTTTTGCACCACCAAAGCCTTTTGACCCAGCCAGAGAGAAGTGGGGGTCGTATATGGCTCAGTTCGAGTGTTTTCTGGAGGCTAGCGACCTACAGAGCCTCTCTGACAACAGAAAAAGAGCTCTCTTTCTGAACCACTGTGGCCCCGAAGTCTTCGACATGGCTGAGTCACTATCTGAGCCGATCCCGGTTCAGTTGGTACCGTGGCAGGTTTTACAAGTCACGCTAAGGGCATACTATGCCCCGGTACCCTCCAAATTCGTCCAGAGATATGAGTTCTGGCAACGCAACTCCCTTCCAACGAGTCCCTTCCTGCGCAAGGCCGCCATGCACTGCGAGTACCAAGACCTTAGTTGTACTCCTAGAGCAACTAATCTGTGGCATTAGAGATATTCACCTACAGAGAAGACTTCTGGCCAGGTTAAATCTGACTCTACACATCACTCTTGATGAAGCAAGAGCACACGAATCCTCCAGTAAGGCTGCGGAGACCCTGCAATGACCAACACCATCGCAGACAACGCACAAGTCAGCCCCGGTGCACGGTGAAGTAACCCAGACCGACAGGGAAGAAGAGTCTGATGAAGACGTCTTCCAAACAGAAAGGCATAGACATGATCAGAGAGAGCGGCGAGAGGACTTTGCGAGCTGTGGAGGGTCACACCAATGGCAGACCTGTAAGTTCAGAGACGCCATCTGCAGACGCTGCGATAAAAAGGGACATTTGGCAAGGGTGTGCAGGGCAAGTCCAACCATAAGCCGAAGAGTGGACCTAGCCAATCTGAGCCAGCTAGCACAAAAGGGCCAACAAATATGGCGATCCCAAAAAGGGTGCGAATTTCAAAAGTCACGAGACCTGCAGCACCAGAGTAGGTCAAGCAAGTACCGCCCTAGAAAAGAAGATACACACTGTGGTGGAAATAGAAGGAAGTCCACGTAAATGTAGATCGATAGCAGCTCGTCTCTATCAATCATGTCCTGGGCCACCCTGAAAACGGCCATACCCAGCTTGAAAAGATGTCAACTAGAGCCCCAGCGACTACGGCTACGCGATTACCAAGGGAACAGCATCCCTGTAGAAGGAGTAGACATGTTCCAAGTACGGACAGCATCGGGAGAAGCTATCCCTCACCATGGTCAGCAGACACCTACCGAGCCTCCTGGGCCTGGACTGCTTTAAGGCCCTGGGAATGGGAGTCACCGGAGTCCACAGCATGAGTGGCAGCCTGAGGGACAACCTGATGCAAGAGTTCCAGGACATGTTTGACAACCGGCTGGGCAAGTATGTGGGGACCCCTATCTCCTTTAACTTAGACCCTAACGTAGCCCCAATCAGGCTTAAGGCTTTCGCACTAAAGCCAAAAATTGACCTGGAGCTGGACAAACTCATTAAGCAGGGGGGTGTTAGTCCCAGTAGATCACGCAAAATGGGAAACCCCAGTAGTAACCCCCATCAAGCCAGATGGGTCGGTGTGCATCTGCACTGATTATAAATGCACAATTAATAAGGCTCTCCAATAAAGCACTTATCCTGTTCCAATCGTGCATCATTTACTTCATTTGCTGGGAACCATATGAGATTTATATATTCTGCCCACAAACGATCAGGTTCATCGACGCCCCCCCTCCCACTTATTTCGAGGCCAAGAAGGCATACAAGCTAGCCCTTTAAAGAGCTAAGCAAGACTGACACCGGCTAAGGTGGAACGCATTACTAGAGGCCGCGAAATCCAGCAACCCTCGAGATTTCTGGAGTCTGTTAAACAGGAGGCCAACTAATAGGCTCACTCATTCCGTCTCTGCCACTACGTGGGAACTCTTTCTACACCGAGTCTTTTACGACACTGACGTGCCAGTTTCTTCGACCTCAGGCTCTCTCCCTAACCACCTTCCCAGATGGCCTCCTGTTGAACCATCCACGATTGCCAAGCTAATCGGACAACTCAAACTTCGAAAAGCCCCCGGCCCGAATCTCATCCCAGCCGAAGCCATTCTAGCCCACAAGGACTGGTGGACCCCGGTTCTTACCGAGGTATTCAATGCGATCAACCAAACAGGCCTTATCCCCAAGCTCTGGAAGGATGCCATAATCATCCCAATACATAAGAAAGGTGCCCACTCCGATCCTGGCAACTCCAGGGTGGCCACGGCCGGGAAGAAAAGGAAGAAGAGCAGCAGCAGTTCCAGGAGGAGAAGGAAATCTCCCCTTCCTCCTCCTCCTCCTGGAGATATCTTTGAGGTATATTTGCCTGATTTTTCCATACAAAGCCGACTGGCTCTTTCCCCTTCTTTCCTGTGGCTCTTTCTGGGGAAAAATAGAAAAGGCTCCTTCCTCTTTTTGTATCCAGCTGGCGCTTTCCAAACCTGGCTTTTCCAGCATTAGCTGCCCAAATCCCCTTTGATTGTGATTTTTAAAAATTATTATTTACATCGGCCGTCCCTTTCTAGACATCACCAGGCTTTAAAGACTTCTCTTTGTATTAGATTGGTGGATAAATCCCAGGCATGAATATGCCTATGTATTTAAAATGGGAATGAGCAGAAATTCTTAAAAGAAATTTAGCATGAAGCGGGGGAACTGAGATTTGTTAGATTGCTTTCTTTGCTGCATTGCCTTGCTTATGTTGTGGAAAAAATAATAACGGTGCACTGGTTAAGATTCTAAGTTGATGCTGATTGAATTTAAAATAGGACAGTTAAGAAGAGTGTACTGTAATGTAGGGAAGAAATGATAAAATGGAAAAAAAGCTGTATTGCTTCCTGGATGCGGTTTACCACTCTGAGCCCCAAGAGGCAGGAGACAAGGGCTGCCTTGGTGCTACCAGCTGGCACAAATATACCATGGTGAAGGCGGAATGCTGATGCCATGCAAATGCAAGTAGCACTTCACTCCTGCACCTTCCAGCCATCGCCACCGCCACTTCTGCCCGCTTGGGCCGCCCCCCCTCCCTCTGTAACAGCACCATTATCTCATTCAGGCCAGCAAGGGCTGTGCTCCTTTTCGCATGTTGCACCACCTGCAAAGTTGCATGTTGCACGTGCCACCCCCTATGGCAGAGATTTCCAGCCCCATCATGGCCTGGTCCCATATTCCAGAGCTGTGGTAGTCACAGGACCGGCCCTTTGGTCATCCCGGAGCAGCTCCTCCACCCAGGTGCACCAGCCTGCAGGGTGGAGGAGCAGCTCCGGGATGACCAAAGGGCCGGTCCTGTGACTACCACAGCTCTGGAATATGGGGCTGACTATCCCACCAATGTCAGCAAGCCACCGTCAGTCTGCCTACCTTCATTTTCCTTCACTCAGATTGACCAAGCTCCTTGAGAGAAGGAACGCAAAAGAGGTTTCCAGGCTGTGTGCCTGGACCAGGCACTTTCTCTTGGGCCTCCCACCTGAAGGCCTCGCAGAAGCAGACAGGTAGGCCCAAAAGGCAGCTGAGCCTCTCCCCCCCCCCAGTGGTCCACGGGATTTAAAATTATGAGTTTGGTGGTCCCTGAGGTCCAAAAGGTTGGAGACCCCTGGGCTACAAAATGGATAAATCCACCCATCCCAGGACTTTGAAGTACACACAAACACAAACACACACACACACACACAAGCTTTGTGCCGGGCCATTCCCCTGTGGTAAGATTGGCAAGCAATGAAGCAGAATTCCTGGGGGACCCTCACCTTCTTCCTTTGCTTGGGCCCCGTGGTCCTCCTGGGATCCCTGAAAGAGAAAAGCAGAAGATCAGACAGGAGACGGTGGAGTTCCTGGGCAGAGTAGAAGAGATGCAATCAATGCCCAGGATGGATGGGAAGAGGCCTTTTTTTTTTGTTTGAAGTCTTGGAAGACATGAAGTTTATGATGGGAATTAAGTTAATGTATATATCTCAGAGGGCCGCGGTGGCTCAGTGGTTAAGATCCTGAGCTTGTCGATCAGAAATGCCAGCAGTTCAGCGGTTCAGTGCCGCATAACAGGGTGAGCTCCCATGACTTGTCCCAGCTTCTGCCAACCTAGCAGTTCGAAAGCAGGTAAAAAATGCAAATAGAAAAATAGGGACCACCTTTGGTGGGAAGGGAACAGCGTTCCGTGCGCCTTTGGCATTGAGTCATGCCGGCCACATGACCACAGAGACGTCTTCGGACAGCGCTGGCTCTTTGGCTTTGAAACGGAGATGAGCATCGCCCCCTAGAGTCAGGAATGACTAGCACATATGTGCAAGGGGAACCTCTGCCTTTACCTTTATATATCTCAGAAGGACCAAATTATGATTCCTGGGAATTTCACTAAACCCTGTGAAATCCAAACCCCCTGCCTCCTTTATTATCCATGAGAATAAACAATCCATGATTGTTGAATAGAGACATTTGACCCAATGAAAACAGAATGGGATTAAAATAAAAAAGAGAGAGAGAGAGAGACTCATGAAAGCTTTTGCAGAAGTCTTGATGTTACCACCCAAGACAATAAATGCCTCTCTTGATGACTCTTGTTCAGGGCAAAAAGATATCTCCAAATTTGTACGGCCTGGCAAGAAACAAAGAATGAAATACAAGCTGCTACAAGCTATTAAAAGTGCCCTGATCTCCCCCTGAAAGGGAAGGCTGGAGAAGGATTGATGTGCCCAAGGTGTCAGGAAATATAATATCCTGCCCTTTTTTTAAGGGGGGGGGGACGGGGAAACAAGCGTAATTAATTTGATCCTGTCATCTGTTGCCTTTAGCCTGCCTTTCTTAATGGGCCAGTATTGTTTCCACCTTTCTCAATGAATGGAGTTTAAGGTCATGTCCTGTCCTTAATCCCATCACCTGGAGGTGAAGATATTTTGTTTATGAAGGATTTCTTAATGGGCACAAATATTCTCTAAAGACCTCTTGTTGGAGGCTATTAAGAAGGCCTGGGGGCTGTTTCCTGCCTTTAAGAACATGTTTTTTCTCTCTCCCCTCTCCCTCTCTTTCTCTCTCTCTCCCTCTCTTTCTCTCTCTCCCCTGTCCTTCTCTCTTCCTCTCTCTCTCGCCTTTCTTTCTCTCTCTCTCTACGCTCTTTCTCTCTCTCCCTCTCTTCCTCTCTCTCTCTACGCTCTTTCTCTTGCCCCCTCTTTCTCTCTCTCCTCTATCTTTCTCTCTATATATCTTTCTCTCTTCTCTCTCCCCTCTCTTTCATTCACTCTCCCCTCTTTCTCTCGCTCTCCTCTCTCCCCCCTTTCTCTCTCTCCTCTCTCTCTTTCCTCTCTCTCCCCCTATCTTTCTCTCTCCCCTCTTTCATTCACTCTCCCCTCTCTTTCTCTCTCACTCTCCTCTCTCTCTTATTGGGTAGTGGGCTTCAGTAAGCATGAAGCAGACCAGCATAGCTACAACAGCATTTATTGACACTAACGGGGCCAGCTAGTGATGGGATCAGCCTTGGTTGTATAAACGGAGGCATAGAATCAAAATCAGGTGACGGATTAATACCGCCTGATACACCTGGAACACTGCATCCAGTTTTGGTCTCTGCATTACAAAAAAGAGGTTGAGACTTTGGAAAAAAGTGCAAAGAAGAGCAACTAAGATGATTAAAGGCCTGGAGGCTAAAACATATGACGAACGGTCGCCAGATTTGGGTTTGGCCACTCTAGAGAAAAGAAGGACTAGGGGGACAGGATAGCAGTCTTCCAGTATTTGAGGGGTTGCCCCAAAGAAGAGAGGGTCAACCTATTCTTCAAAACACCAGAGGGCAGGCGAAGAAACAATGGATGGGAACTAATTACGGAGAGAAGCAACCTAGAAATAAGGACAAACTTCCCAACAGTGAGGACAATTAACAAGTGGGACAGCTTGCCACAAGAAGTGCTTCATCACTGGAGGTTTTTAAGAAGAGACTGGACAGCTATTTGTCTTGGATGAAATAAGGATTCCCACTTTGGATAGAACACCTCTAAGGTCCCTTCCAACCCTACGTCTAGGATTCTCTGAGCCTTCCCTTTCCCTTCACCTTGTCCCTGTCCCTTCTGCTTCCCCTTCCCTCTCCCTCTCCCTCTGCTTCCCCTTCCCCTTCTCTCTCCCTTCCCCTTCCCTTTTCCTCTCTCTCTCCCTCTCCTAATCCTTCCCTCTCTCTTTCCCGTTCCCTTTCCCTTCCCTCTCCCTCTGCTCCCATTCCCTTTCCATTTTCTTATAATCAGACCAACTGCTGGATTCTCTGAGAGGGCCCAGGGCATCTTCACTTCTCGGTGGCATCCAAAAATTGGTTGGTGAGGAAATCATAGTCTTCTTTCTCACGCAAACCAAGTTGGCCTGAGTGGTCCCTGTGTTGACAGGATCTCCGCATAGAGTCAACCCATTTTCTAGGCCAGCAAAGGGAACTGCTTCTCTGGGGAACACGGGACTCTGGGTCTTTTTAACTGCCCAGATTTCAGGAAGCTTTAAAGTTGGGGGAGAGGAGGCAGAGGTTCCCAAGGAGGAGCCCTGCGGGAGGTCTCAGACTACTCCACTCTACTCCATCCTCGCCCTCCTCTCCCCCCATCACCTCTCCTCCTCCAAAGAAGGTGTCAAGTTACCTCAGCCATCCTTCTCAGAGGACAGATGCAAGTGATTGCCTCACTCCATTGACCAAGTCCTACTTCAGTCATAGCAGCGCATCGGAATTGGTACTGAAGGTTTAGGTGGACATCTTCCAGGGTGAATTGATCCTTTGGGCCTTCTGTTTGGAGACTTTTCCAATTCTCCTCTCCTGCAATCTGATATTCCACCTGGTACCTGGAGACCGAAGCCTTCCTGATGGCTACCGGATCAATACTGATGTGGAAACTATTTGGGTGCACTTGCTCAACCTTAGGAGGGGGCGGTCTTCTTTCCCAACATGGAGAGCATGGAATCAAAGATGCACACGGCTGTCTTTAGAAGAGCACACAATGGCCGTTGCCAGAGGGGCTTTTTATCAGATTCGCCTGATACACCAGTTGTACCCCTTTCTGAGTCGGGATTCCTTATGCACAGTCACTCATGCTCTCGTCACTTCTCGCCTGGACTACTGCAACGCTCTCTACATGGGGCTCCCCTTGAGGAGCACCCAGAGGCTCCAACTGGTCCAGAATGTGGCCGCACAGGTGATTACGGGAGCGACATGGCGCTCCCATATAAGACCTCTCCTGCGCGAGCTGCACTGGCTCCCAGTGGTCTTCCAGGAGCGCTTCAAGGTGTTGGTTCTCACCTTTAAAGCACTCCATGGCTTAGGGCCAGGGTATTTACGAGACCGCCTTCTGCTACCGATAACCTCCCACTGGCCAATACGCTCTCACAGAGAGGGCCTCCTCAGGGTGCCGTCGGTCAGGCAATGTCGGCTGGCGTCCCCCAGGGGGAGAGCCTTTTGTGTGGGAGCACCCGCCCTCTGGAATGAGCTACCTCCTGGAATACGGTTGATACCGGATCTCCGCACTTTCCGTAAGGCCCTGAAGACGTTTTTATTTCAGCAAGCCAGCCTGGCCTGAATAGGTTTTATGGGTTAGTTTTTAATTGTGTAGCTTGGGGTTTTAAATTAGGAGGCCGATTAATTTAATTTATTTTTAGTTATCTTAACTTTTATATTGTATGTTATTTTAATTTTCGGCTGTTCACCGACCTGAGTCCCTTCAGGGAGAAGGGCGGTATATAAATTCAATAAATAATAATAATAATAATAATAATAATAATAATAATAATAATAATAATAATAATAAAAAAGATCATAGTCAACCTAAGAATTATAGGCCAATATTGCTTTTAAATACTGATTATAAGATTTTTGCTGAAATACTAGCAAATAGGTTAATGGTAATTATGCGACAAATGATTCATAATGACCAATCTGGATTTATAAGTGGGAGACAAATGAAAGGTAATGTAAGACAAATTGTAAACTTATTGGAATATTTGGAAAGGAACAACCAAGTCCCTGCAGCACTTATCTTTTTGGATGCGGAGAAGGCATTTGATTAATTGAATTGGCAATTTTTATTGAAAATAATAGAAAAGATGCAGTGTGGAGAATACTTTACACAATCTATTAGGGCAATATATCAGAGACAAACAGCACAAATAATAATTAATGGTGGTTTAACAGAAACTTTTAAAATTGAAAAAGGAACAAGACAGGGATGCCCCTTATCACCATATTGCTTATTTTAACTTTGGAACCTTTACTGAATAAAATACGAGGGTCAAATAAAATAAAGGGAATTAAAATTAGACATCATGACTATAGATTAAGAGCATTTGCGGATGACTTGGTTGTTACTTTAACCCAACCAGTACAATCAGTTACAGGCTTACTGGATATAATTAGCCAATACGGTCAAATGTCTGGATTTAAACTAAATAAACAAAAAACAAAGATAATAGCTAAAAATATGATGGTAAAGCAAAAAGAAGACTAGAAAGACCAACAGGATTTGAAATAGTAAAAAAGGTTAAATATTTAGGGGTATATATTACAGCCTCAAATGTAAAATTATATAAAAATGATTATGAATTGCTATGGCAAAAAAAAGAAAGAAAGAGATGGAGAATTGGGGAAAACTACAATTATCTCTGTTGGGGAGAATAGCAGCAATAAAAATGAATGTTTTACCTAGGTTTTTATTTTTGTTTCAAATGATACCAATACTTAAGAAAGATGATAATTTGAGGGAATGGCAGAAGGGTATTAATAATTTTGTTTGGGCAGGGAAAAGACCGAGATAATGCAAGATATACGTGAAAGAGAAGGTCTTAAAATGCCTAATCTAAGATTATACTATGAAGCAGCTGTTTTAATAATAATTAGTGAGTGGATTAATTCAACAGAAGAAAGAATATTGAATATTGAAGGATATGATTTGTTATATGGCTGGCATGCTTATTTATTATATGACAAAAAGGTGGATAAGACCTTTAAAAGCCATATACTAAGGAATGCCTTGTTACGAGCTTGGAAGAAGTATCAATATAAGTTAAATTATAAGATACCTATATGGGCAATACCCAGACATGAGGTAGAGAATATAAGTGTAGAACAAAAGCAGGAGGTGATTACCTATAAAGAGCTTCTTAAAATGGAAGGCGGTATATTGCAGTTAAAAATCTATAAAGGCATTAAAAGAAGAAAAAATAATTCAAACTTGGTTTCAGTATGGACAGTTGCAAGCTAGATGGAAAGAAGACCAGAGAATTGGTATCATGCAGAAGGAGGAAAATTTGGTAAAACAAATTAGAGATCAAAGCCAAATGCATATAAAAAGATTATATAATATATTGATAGAAATAGACTCAGAAACGGAATTAGTTAAGGATTGCATGATAAAATGGGTACAAAACATTCAGGAACCAATAATGATGGAAACTTGGGAAAAAATATGGGTTAGAAATGTAAAATTTACGCAAGCACAAAATTTAAGAGAAAATGTTTATAAAATGTTCTATAGATGGCATTTAGATCCTAAAAAGTTGGCTTGTATGTATCCAAATTTGCAATCTAAGTGTTGGAGATGTGATTGTGATGATGCTACTTATTATCACATATGGTGGACTTGTAAAAAAGTTAAAGCATTTTAGATTAAAATATGGTGAATTATCCAAAATATTCTTAAAAAGAAGATAAAGTTTACTCCACAATTGTTTTGTTGGGTATAATCACAGATTATACAGTTATAGAGACTAAATTGATTTTAAATTTAATAACTGCAGCTAGACTTTTGGTAGCACAATATTGGAAGAAGGAAGATTTGCCTACTATTGAAGAATGGACATTAAAAGTGGCCAATTTGGCAGAAATGGTGAAAATTTCAGCATATTTGAAAGATCATTCACAAGAAAGATATATATCGGAATGGAGAAGATGGATTGATTATATTCAAAACAAATATCAGACTAAAAAGTATCAAATAGCTTATGAATGAATAGAAAAGTTAAGAGTATGTATATTTAGTTAAGTAAAAGGCGAGTTAAAGTGTCGAGGGGGGGATAGGAATCTGTAGTTAGTTAGTTTAGCTTAGCATATGATTGTTAATTGTTTTACCCTGTATTTTGTTATGGGAAGTCCGGGGGGGGCAAGGGGGGCGGGGAGGGGGGGAAGGAAGGGGGGGAAGGGGAAATATTTGAATTTTTTTTCTTTTTTGTAAAACTTTTTAATAAAAAAAGAAAGAAAAGAAAAAAAAAGAACTGGTAGCAAACTGGTTCGGATTTCACCACTGACCAGAAGGCAGAGCAAGAAACAACGGCTGGGAATTAATCCAAAAGAGAAGCAAGAGAAACAGGACAAAGCAGGGATTCTAAGAATCTCTCTTTTACAGTCGGAATGTGGGAAGCGGTACCAGAGGTTCCAAACACTGTAGGAGATGCCAGGGAATTCTCTCTGCTCTCCTCCTCACATTCACCCAGAAGAGAATTACCTGTTCAGTCTTCTCTGCAGGATAGATGCAAGTGGTCTCCTCACTCCATCGGCTGATCTCAAGATGTGTCACAGCAGCACATCGGAATTGGTACTGAGTAGTGAGGTGCACATTTTCTAGGGTGAATTCATTCTTAGAACCTTCTACATGGAGACTTTTCCAGTTCTCCTCTCCTGCAGCCCGATATGCCACTTGGTACCCAGAGATTGAAGCCATCGCTTCGGCCATTGGATTAATAGTGATCAGGAAACTATTTGGTTTGACAGGCTGAACCTTAAGAGAGGGAGGACTTCTAAGAGCAGCTTCCAGCTCCTGACGTTCCTTGAGGATGTCCATGGTCAAGGTTAAACTTTTGGTCTCCACCATCTTTAAAGAGTCAAAGAAATCCTTCATGCTCTCAGTGCTCATTTTCCAGAACATTTCAGCAACCGCATTACGGCTTCCTCCATTTTGGGTGGGAGCAAAGAGAGCTGAATGGTTGAATCTGAAGTGCAGAGGGGTTCCTGACTCATCCTGAGCACACGGCAGGTCAGCCTCCTTGAGGGCCTCCAGGACAGGTGGGGTCCCCCCATCCGCAAAGGTGATCAGGAGTTGGATGTTATCCTTCACATCTTTTCCCAACATGGAGAGCATGGAATCAAAGACACATTTCTGGGCATGAGTTGAATGGGCAAGGAAGGCTTGGGCCACCAAGCAGATGGCATCCACGTGGTCAATGCCCCCTGGGGTGGAGAAAAACTCCAGGAGCTGTTTCTCAACCAGTTTGTCTTGCTCTGCATCGCCAAATCCTGGCGTGTCAATGATTGTGAGAGAATAGGGAATTCGGAAACATTTCTGATGGTTCACCATGTAGGCTGTCACTTCAGACGTCCTGCTTCCAGCTTTACTTCTTTGGGTGATTTCATGAATGAGTTTGAATCTGAAATTATCTTCCCACTGGACACCCAGAATATAATTGATCATCCCGTTGATCAGAGTGGTTTTCCCAGACAGGGTTGCTCCCATCACCAGGATGACTTTGTTGGGCACTTCCAGGCTCTCCTTTCCAAGCTGGTACATGAGACAGGAGGTGGAGGCAACTGAGGGGACTTCCTCCAGAGTAAGTGCAAACACTAATGGCTGGCTGTCCTCCACCAGGAACCTTTTCTGAAGGAACTGTTGGGCTATGTTGTCTCTGCCTTCTTTTTCCAGTGATGTGGAGACCTCCAACTCCTCACTGGGGACACCCAGAGTTCCATTATCACACACGGCCAACACCCGTATTCTGTACACTGTCTGGGGATTCAGACCTTCGATAGAGTAAAATTCTGTTTTTCTCCCAGTCCTTTTTTCAGCCCATTGGTCCTTCCCAACTCCAGCCTCCACCGTTCTGTACTCCACCTTGTACTCCTTGACCACAATTCCTGAGGCAACGATGCTGGGACTCATCCAGGCCACAGAGATGACAGAAGATGCTGCAGTGACCATTCTTAATTCCCCAGGAGGGCTGGTGGGAAGGGTCTTTATGGGTGGGCTCAGGTCACTGGTTTACCATGGCCTACCTTGCAACAAGCAGCATACTGGAACTGGTACTCTGTGTTTGGAGGTAGATCTTTCAGCAGGAACATCTCCCTGTTGTCCTCTGTCCTCATGGTCTTCCAGTTATTTTCCCCTGCAACCTTGTACTTTACCAGATAGTTGGAGATGGAAGCCTTTCCATATTCAGCTGGCTGAAACTTCAGTTGAATGCTGTCGTGTCTCAGTTCACTGATCAGGAATTGGAGTGGTTTTGAGGGCAACTCATAGTTCTTGCTGACCAGCTCTCCATCCTCATAAAAGTGTATTGAGGCTCCTGGGGTGTCCACATCTGGTTTTGAGGCCACAACAAAGCGGATCTTCTCTTTTGATTGATTGATACTGAAAAAGTCTTTGATGGATTTTGCAGCTTGGCGAGAATTGCGGGTCCTCTCCTTGTCTTCAAACCAGGCCATGCCTTCCTTCACCCCAGGACTGGATCTTGTGGACTTGGTTGATTCTTGCAAGAATTGCTCCTGAAGCCACTTCTGTAAGCTCAACAGAAATGGCTCCTCTTTACGTAAAGAAGTGAATGTAAAGGAGACCACATGTACATTCTGGGGGTCCAGAACTATTTCTTCCAGCTTGTTCTGAGATGAGATAACTTCTATATTATTTAGAATAGTCAGATAAGATTTGACAAAGTTAATTTCTCTTTTTTTGCTGTCCAGAAATTGATGGAGTCTTTGGCTGTTGAAGGGCGACTGGTTGACGGACATCAAGAGGTCCACCAGGGTCCCTTCCTCCTGCCCTCCTCCCCGGATGGAAGGCAACATTCTGGCCAGCTCTTTCTGGAAAGTCTGCCTGTGTTGCTTGCAGAGATCCTTGAACTGCTGGATCTTCCTCTGGATCTCAGGGAAGGTCTCAGCAATGGGATTCTTGGCTAGATCGTTGCTTTGCATCTGGATTTCATTGAGATCCTCCAAGATCATTTTAGCATCAAAGATCAACGTTAGGCTGATCTCACGGACCATCTTAGCTGCTGTGGTGTCCAGCTTGGTCAGAGGGTAGAGCCAGACCCTCATAGGCACAGCCTTCTCCCCATCTTTCCCTAACATTTTTGGGAGAGTTTCATAAACTTTCATGGCATCTTGGAAAGTGACTGGATTTTTCTCCAAAGAAAAGTCTCCATGGAATTTGCACCTGAACTTCAGAGCATCCTCTTTCTCCTTCGCAGTCAGTTGGACCTCTGCTTCTCCTCCAATAGATATTTCCTTCGTGAGTGTAGCCCGGAGGTTTCCCTCTATATTTTTTACCATCTCCTTTGAAGAAACTTCTCGGTCAAAGACAAAAAAGGCCTGGGCTCCATAGAGGATGGCGGTGACCACATGGGTGGCTGTGCCATGCTCAAAGACGGCTTTGTGAGAGATATTCTGGATTCCTAGGTGGTTCATTGTCAGCTGTTCATACCTGGTGGTGGTTTTGTACTGAACGGTGACTCTGGCCTGTTTCTTGGACTTCTTTTTGTCATGAAGATACTTGGCTGACCCTCCCACTTCAACCAGCCCTCCCAGGAAACTGGCCGTGAGGGAGGCTGAGATGTCCAGGGCAGAGCTCTTATCATCTATGCTGTCGGATGCAATGATTTCAGATTCAGTTTTGGGCTGAGGCTTGATGGTCAGGTCCTTCTGAAGAGAGTCGTAATCCCAAAGGGTGACTCCTGCATGGAACAGAAGAAAACAGGGACATGAATTGAACACTGTCTTCCAAAACACCTGCAGCTGGACAGAGGAGCTCCAGAGAGATGGGACAAGGGAGACATCATTTCCTCTAGTGGGCTCCTTCATTTGTTCTGTCTGACCATCACCTGCATGTTTTGCAAAATACCACAAACTCCAAAGGCTTTTGACTGAGTAGAGGGGAATGGGAACTGCTATGCACCTCTTGATCTCCACTCCCTGGAGAAACTATGATTTTCATCACATGTTCTGACGTGATTTCTCTGTTCAGACCCCCCTCAGGAAAGGCACATCCCTCACTTCACCACTCTGTGAGATCTGAACTCCTTTTTAAAATCATTTACCAAACCATTTCAGTGACTTTGGTTCGGGAGAGGAAAATTCATCCCATGATTGGCAGTCAAGGGTGCCCCGCTGTGTGCCTGGCCAAAGGGTGGATATGCATTCCTAGGCAGAAGTCCCTACTTGCCTAGCTGCTACCATATTTCCCCCAAAAAAGCCCCACCCTGATTTTGTTGGGGTGGTGGTGGGCTTAATATAACTCTTCCCCCAAAATAAACCCGGTTGTTGGGTGTGGCCCACCGGCCCCTTGGTGCAGTGCAGATACTGCTAATTCTGGCCGCAGAGGCAGAGTGGGGGGAGAGAGAGGTGATCCAGATGTGCCGCACAGTTGCCTGGCTCCCAGGAGGCTCGTGGGAGGCTTATGCAGCATCACGGGCAGAGGGTGGAGATGGAGGCATGGGGGGTGGGGGAACAATCCTGATGCCTACTCCATGCAGCCACAAGCAAGCCCAGAGAAAAAACGGACTTCCCTTTGCCGCTTGGCACAGCACAGATACTGTTAAGTCCAAGGGCAGAGGGAGATGCAGTGGGGAGGAAGGAGATTGTTTCAAGGTAGATTTATTCATCAGTAAAAGCCCCCTCTCCCCCCTTAACAAACCATCATTACAGGTATATATCTACATAAGGCAGGAACCATAACTACCTCACAGACGCAGCTGAAGGCAGCTCCTCGAGAGTCAGGAATACATCTCAAACAGATTCTGCCAAGGCTGCAGACATAAACCCTGTAACAGAGATCTGGACAGGCTGCATGGCTGCGTGTCAGCTTTGGAAGCCATATTAGCCCTGGAAGTTTCCACGCTGCCACCTTCTCATGTGTGGGAAAGTAGGAGGGGGGATTCAGTAGAGGGAATGTAGTTAGACAAAATAGCATTCTTCCTTTCGGTCAAGGTCGTGACAGTCCTGCATCTGGAGAAGGAGTGGTCGGAGTGATGTCTCGAGATGGGACGGATGGGGATTGGGACGTGTGAGGGACCGATGGGTGCAGGGGATGGATTTGGGGGTCTTGAGTCACTGAGGGAAAACCCGGAACTCTCAGATTTGGGCTTTTCCAGATGTGCCAGTATATCTATTCTAATAAATGGAACGTTGAGAAAATGCTTGCCTTGGAGTTTTTAATTGGAGTTGGGGTTTTCTGGAACGCTGACACTGCGTGGCTCACAGGAGGAGAGTAGGAGGCTTGTGCGGCAGCACCGGCAAGAGGTGGAGGAGGAGAGTGGGGGCAGCCAATCCTGATGCCCCGCACAGACGCCTATCCGGCAGGGCCACACACAAACCAAGTCACAGTGGGACAGAGCGGGTGGCACATTGGGATTGCCTGCCTCCCCCCCACCCCCAGCCCCGTGCCTCTGGCTTCACCTGGCTTCACCCCACACTATTCACCCAGAGGGAGACGAAGCTTCATCTGTTTGCAAATGGGACACTTTGAAACAGAGCTAATTGCTCCTTTTCAAAGTCTCCCATTTGCAAGCAGGTGAAGCTTTGAGCCTCCCTGATTTCTCTGTCCGGGCAAAAAGTGTTTGGGTGCCTATGGATCACTTGCTAACAGAGCATTTTGGCTGGCTGCGTCGCTTGGCCTCCTGCTCCAGTGCTGGGCTGGTACGGGAAGAAGTGAGCCAGTGGCCACGTGGACTCCTACTGCGCATGCAGGTGCTGACGCAGTGAGGCAGTGGTCAGAGCGTAGAGCCACGGGGCTCCTAAGGGGAGCCGGTGTGCATGTCGGGCACTTCCATGCCTGCCTCGTCATGGTGGCACTCAAAAAGTTAAGACACTCCCGAAAATAAGCCCTAGTGCTTATTTAAGGGCCCGAAAGAAAATAAGACCGGGTCTTATTTGGGGGGAAATACGGGTATTAGCAGGCCATGGGCCCAGGAGTCCCACTCTGAAGCATCCCTGGGCTGAGCCCATGCACTGATGGCAGCTCCAGTCTTCTTCCTGCCAGAGTTTCCCGCAGGAGATGCCCATCCGCTTCTTGTCTTCCGGCTCCTACCTGGGATGAGGGTATCCCTGCGGCAGTCGTACAGCATCCCCAGCTGGAAGGGGCGGCCCAGGGCTGGGGTCTCAATGGGGGCCTCTGCCTGGGCCATGCTTGGCTCCTGAGTGCCGCTGGTCCTTCTGGTTCCCTGTAAGAGAGGAGAAACTTCTGGAGGATGCCAGAACTGACCGATGACTCTCCGAGGGGACGCAGGATGTGGCCACCCTCCACCCACTGATGTCGGTTTGCTTTGTCAGGGAATTCCACACCTTCTGTGTCCAAAGGGAGTCAGAAAACTCTGACGTGAACTTGAAGTTTTATAACAACGAATATATATTTATAAGATGCGGCAAACAAGGCGGCCAGGGGAGCAGGAGCATCGTGAGGTAAATCATCAGGTAAACCCCAGAACAGCAGAGACAGAAGAAAAAAGGCGGGAAAAAGAGAAACTCCCCCTTCTCCCCCAGCAACCAATCATAACATAGATTGCCTCAGGCAGGGGCCCACGGTGCCTTCCAACCAGTCAGCGACAACCATGCTCTCTGGCCCAGTGTACACTTTGCTGTTTGAGTTATTAAAGGAAATATCTTAGAACAGGGGTGTCAAACTCACGTTGTCACATCGTCGTTACGTGACGTATTATGACTTTCCCCCCTTCGCTAAACAGTGGGTGCGGGTGGCCACGGGCCGTGAGTTTGACACCCGTGTCTTAGAACTACTCCAATTTTATAGCTGGACAGCATTTACACCGAGTTGTCCCGCAAGATCTTTGTGTCTTTGTATGCTCCATGGCTTTGTGATGACATCAGCCAAGTTGTTTTCTGAGAGAGAATAAATTAGGTCTATTCAGTGGTGGGCTGCAAATTTTTTAACAACTGGTTCTCTGGCTGGGTAGGCGTGGCCCGTTGATCATGTGACTGGGGGGGTGATGTCACTCATCACATCCAGCCCCGCCTCCTGTCCACCCGCCTCAAAGGCAGAGGTAGGATTCAGCCGGTTAGGACTAATCCCACCACTGGATGGCACCACCCCTTCCCATTGTTCAGCCTGTTTTCTGGCTGTTTTGGGGGGCGTTTTCAGGCCATTTTTTAGGGCTGTCCCAAAAAGCAGGCCGAAAAACAGGAGGGGGCGGGGCCAGCCAGTGGTGGGATTTGCCGGTTCTCCAAACTGCGCCTAATCTTAACTACCGGTTTGCCAGAACCGGTGCGAACCTCTGGGTCTATTGCATTTTCTTTCGTCGCTTCTCTTGACGTAATAAATACTTTAGGTCAACATGTTTGCTTCTCTCTCACCTGTTGCCATTTGTGTACATGTTGTGTTATCTTCAAACACTGGTTTCATGCTCTTTGCTTCACTATCCACATCCTTTAACTATTGTGTCTACCGTGATAACTCTGAACACAATTCTGACAATGCTATGAGCTCCGCCTCAGCCGTGGAATTGGCAACGGAAGTCAGTTTTCTCGATGGCCAGCCAACTAGTCGCCTGTTTGCACACATGACAACACAGTCCTGAGGTTGACCTTGTATCTTGTACACAGATCATCCATAAGTGCAACCAATGCCGTTTCTGTCCTATATCCAAGCCTGAATTATGAAGACTGCTAAAGTTTTGGATAATCCATTTCATCCAGAAACCTCTGGAGCTGCCACACAGCCACCCTCTCCAGAAACTTCCCCCAAAAGGAAGATGGGTTGATCTTTGGATGACCTCAGAGGTCATCTAGTCCAACCCCCTATTCAAGCAGGAGACCCTTACAGAATCATAGAATCACAGAGTTGGAGGGCACCTTGGAGGTCCAGAGATGAAGCACCCATGACGTCTGGTGGAAAGCAGTTCCACTGGTGAATTGTTCTCACTGTTAGGAAGTTTCTCCTTAATCCCAAATTGTTTCTCCCCTTGATGAATTTCTGTCCATTCTTGGAAACCATCCAAGGAGAGAAGCAACTTAGAACCAAGGTGAGACCCCCCCCACCCTCTCACCCGCAGAGGGCAAAGCGTGATCCCTCCAGGGAGACCAAAATTTGGAATTGTGGGCGGGGGAGATGGAATTGAGGAGGATAATTGGGGGAGGAGGGTTGTCGGAAGAAGGAGTTGCTTCCCTACTCCCGATTTGTGGTCTCACCTTATTTGGCTGCCAGGAGAGAATTCAGCAGCCTTCAGAAAAGGAGCAATTGTTGCTAAGTTCCCTGCTTTTCTCCTCCTTCCCCCCCTCCAACCTGAAGTTGCCTTTCCTACCAAGGAAGATGGGATCCTAAACATCCCAGGATCCCCTTCCCAATGTTAGGATCTCATCTACTAACGTCCTTCCATTAGCCCCCCCTCCCCTCCCCCATTGACTTTGCTAACATTAGGATCTCCGCTGCCCCATCCATCCGTTGGCATTCCCCACAGACAAGGAACCTCTTGCTCTCGGCTGCTCCCTGACCCGCTTCCCCACCACAGGCCCAGGAGGAGCTCTGCCCTCGCCCCGCTCCACCCTGCGGCCCTGGGGAATGCCCGCTTGGGGGTCCTGGGGCTTCTGTGGGGTCCCACCTGGTTGAAGGGATCCGGAATACTGGGTGGCAGGTGGATCTGCCAGTCCTCCTCTGCTTCTCCTTCTGCTTCTGCTTCTCCTTCTGCTTCTGCTTCTGCTTCTTCTGCTTCTGCTTCTGCTTCTGCTTCTGCTTCTGCTTCTGCTTCTGCTTCTGCTTCTGCTTCTGCTTCTGCTTCTGCTTCTGCTTCTGCTCCGCCAGATCTCCCCGGCCTTTGAACTGCGGGTGGAGTTTATCTTGGGAACAAAGTCCACAGGAAACCCGATGAGACAATCGACCTTTCCAGCCGCATCTCATCAGCTCTTCTGGGTTTCCTATCCTAAAAAGGGTCCCTGAAATGGGGACAACCTTTCCTCCCCGTCCTTGGAGGTCTTCTTCAGTGTCTGCTCCAGCCTGGGAGGCTGGGGGAAAGGATGAGGGAAGCAGAGGGTCTTCCTCAAAGCAGGAGACCCTGGGAAGCCCCTTACCTGCCCTTCCCCCTGAGCCCGGCAAGGGGGTGCAGCTGCCGCCCACTTCCTCCAAAGGCTGGACCACCTTTGTTGCCAAGTGTGGAGACCCCCCTGCTCTGTAGAGCTGCTTCTGCTCATAGGGAATTTGACTGACATTCCTCCAGAATGTGGAGTATGCCAAGAGAGAGAAGAGTTGGGGTCTTCTGGAAGGAGGCAGGTCTTCCTCCCACTGCCCCCCCCGTCTATCTTCCCTTGTTAAGGTTAGAGACCCTCCCCACTCTCCACCCCATGGTTATCCCCCTGGGACCTCCCATTGGTCTGAGGGGAGGGGTCCAGAGGGGGACCTCGGACTTTGAGACTCTCTCTGAAACAACTGAGATTGGCAGACTCCGATGATGCTCTCAGAAATCGCATTGATTTTCAGGAGTGTCCGTCAGATGTCGTCAAAAGTTGATTTGATTTAGAGAAAGGGCAAAAACTGTGGTTGCAAAATTATAAAATAATAATGTCAACTGCATATAAGGAAAATTTGTATAAGATGTTTTACAGGTGGCATTTACCCCTGACGAGAATAGCCAGAATGTTCAAGAATAAATCCAAAAAGTGTTGGAAATGTCATCAGACACCGGGCTCATATTACCATATGTGGTGGACATATGTAGAAGCTAAAAGATACTGGACTAAAATCCACACGTTGGAAAAAATGACAAAAAGACACATAGACTTTAAACCAGACATTTTTTTTTTTATTAGGGATGGTGCCAGAAACATACAATAGAGAATTGAGATATTTGATTGTGAAAGTTTTAACAGCGGCTAGAATTGTGTTTGCTAAAAATTGGAAAAATGAGAAAGTACCAACTCAAGACGAAGTGATCAGGAAGATTATGGAATGTGCTGAAATGAGTAGATTGACATTTGAAATTGGAGAACAAGAAGACAAACAATATTATAAAATATGGAATTTATTTTATCTATGGCTAGATAATAAAACATGGAAATGAAATATGAAACATGAAATGAATGTTATAAATATAATATTTGAAAATAATTTTTATGAAGCAATTAAGCCATAGTTAAATAAAGGATAAATGAGGATACTTATTTGTTTGATATATGAGAAAGCAGATACTTATTAAACTTTGAATATGGGGACGAAGCACAAAAGATTTGTAACCGGTAGACACACTGTTTGCAATTGTATTGAATGATGGATTGATGTTTTACGTTTTGTTTTTAAATAATTTTTTTTTTCAAAAAAAAGAAAGTTGAGATGGTGCCTCGGGCCTCTCTCTCTCTCTCCCTATCCCTCCAGCCTCTCTATTTTTTCCTCAGGCCCCAGAAAAACCGAAGGCACGGGTACAGTATAGGTGGGACCTCAATCAACAGTAGTAACTGTGAGAGGATCTTGGAGTCCTAGTGGACAACCATTTAGATATGAGCCAGCCGTGTGCAGCAGCTGCACACAAGCCGACACAATCCTAAATTGCATTAACAGAGGGATAGAATCAAGACCACGTGAAGTGTTAATACCGCTTTATAAGGCCTTGGTAAGGCCACACTTGGAATCCTGCACCCAGTTTTGGTCGCCACCATGTAAAAGAGATGTTGAGGCTCTAGAAAGCGTGCAGAGAAGAGCAACCAAGATCATTAGGTGGCTAAACCATAGAAAGAAACTGGGTCTGTCTAGCTTGATGAAAAGAAGGACTAGAGGGGATATGATGGCAGTGTTCCAATATTTGAGGGGCTGCCCCAAAGAAGAGGGGGTCAACCTATTCTCCAAAGCACCTGAAGGCAGGACAAGAAGCAATGGGTGGAAACTAATCGGGGAGAGAAGCAACCTGGAACTAAGGAGGAATCTCCTAAGGGTGAGGACAATAAATCAGTGGAACAACTTGCCTCCAGAAGTTGTAAATGCTCCAACACTGGAGGCTTTTAAGAGGAGATTCGATAACTCATTGTCTGAGGTGGTATAGGATTGCCTGCCTAAGCAGGGGGATGGACTAGAAGACCTCCAAGGTCCCTTCCAGCTCTATTCTGCTTGATTGGACGTCTGCTTGATATGGAGGTGGATCTTCTCAGCTTCCTCAGAGATCCAGCAGGCCTCACCTCTCACATTTCCTCTTCCTTGGCTTTAGAATCCCCGAATCCCAGAGTTGGAAGGGATCAGCTCAGTTTCAGCAACTGGCTTTTCTCCTCCCCTGAGGGCAACTCTGAAAGAGGAAGTTGAAGTGGAAAGTGAAAGCTCCAGTTCAGCTGAAGCATTTCTGAGAAATCTCCACAGATCCTGGAAAGCGAAAGTAGGGCTCGTTGTTAAGCAAGGAAGCTGGCTTGACCGAGGGGCCAGCAAATAGATCCTGCCTCTGTGGGACAGAGATTTATCTCAGCATCCCTGCCGCTGTGGGGCAGCAGAGAAAGGGGTCAGCCTGGAGGAGTCCTGCGGTTCCGTCAAATGAGATATTGGCTTGTTTTTTGGGGGGATCTTCTGAACTTCTCTGAGAACTTTGACACTGAATGTCCTCAGAGCCGGCAAAGTTTCAAAGTAGCCCCCCCCCTCTCTCTCTCTCTCTCTCTCTCTCTCTCTCTCACTCACACACACACACACACACCTTGTGGATTGTGTGACTTTACCCACCCCCACCCCCTTGAACAATGTTCTGCAATTGACCCTTCTGCAGGGAGTGTGGGAGTGTAGTTGGATGGATGGATGGACAGATTGGTGAATGATAGATGGGTCGAGAGATGAATGGATGGATGGAGTGATGGAGAGGGATGGATGAATAGATGCATGGATGGATGGATGCAGGGATGGAGAGATGGATGGACAGATGGATGGGTGGGTGGGTGGATGGATGGGTGGGTGGATAAATACATGGATGGATGGAAGGATGGATGGATGGAAGGATGGATGGATGGATGGATGGATGGATGGATGGATGGATGGATGGATACACAGATGGATGTTTAGATAGATGGATGACATGATCATACCATTCTTTCTCCCTGGGCTTGAGGAGATCACCAGTGACTGGACAATCAAGGAAGAAGTGATGGAGGATGCCTGCTGGATCTCTGAGCAAGCCAAGATGTCCCAAAGGAAGTTCTAAAAAGACCTTGGATTGTTTGGACCTTCTCAAGCTATGGAACCTCCTTAAGAAAATGGGAGTCCTAGACCATCTCGTTGTCCTGGTGTGAAATCCATGCTCAGGGCTGGAAGCAGAGGCTGGACCAAATGCAATGGAGTAGACCGGAGGTGCCTACAAGATGGAAAGAGGTTCTACTGCTCCGTGGTGGCACCCTCTCAACCTTTTGACCACGTCCTGCAGATACTCCTGAAAATCATGGTGATTTCCCCCATGATCCGAGTCCGAAAATCTCAGGAACTCACCCTCCTATCTCGGGAGAGACCCTCTGAAGTCCGAGGTGCAGCTGGGGACACACACACAAACCCCTCAGACCCACCGAAGTGCCCCGAGGGATAACCAGGAGAGGACGATGGAAGTGGAAAGGATGCTAATGTTGGCAGTGAGTGCCATCAGTGCAATGAAGACATCCCCCCTTCCAGGTCCATCTTCCTTACACATGCAAACACACAATGCACACAATCACATCCTTTGATTTCTTCAACCAGGAACTCTCCGTTCCCCCAGTCTGACATCTTTTAAGGGAAGCCCCCCCTCCTCTCCCCTGGGACCCCAGGTTGGAGCACGGTTAAAGGAAGGAGAAGCAGACCTTAAAGAGAGGGGGGTCACTGTTCCCCCCTTTTTTTTGAAAAGGACGGAGAGATCGAGCGGCGAAGCAGAGAAGGAGAGCAGCAGATCCACCCTCCGCCGGGGATTCCTGATCCCTGCAACCAGGTGAGACCCCTCCCCAGAAGCTCTGAGAGTTAGGGGCAGTGGAGTGGAGTGGGGCGAGGGAAGGGCTTCTTCTGGGCCTCCGGTGGGAAGCAAGCCAAGGAGCTGCCCCTTTGACCCGAGGACGAGCGGTCCTTCCTTTCTGGGGGAAGCAAATGGGTGGGTGGGGGGAGCTGAGACCCTCCTCTGAGGAAAAGCAAGCAGAGAAGGGAGGAGGGAGGTGGAGTGGAAGAGACGAACAATCAACTGCTTGTTTTCAGAAGTTGTGGGGGCTTCAATTTTATTTATGATTTTTTTCTTTAACATCCAAACGTGCTTGGGGAACCGTGTATTGTCTGGGTTAATATACTTTGCATACAATTCTGATAATGATATTACCATTTAAATATACATAATCATAATCTTTCAATTTTGAATATTTGTGTATACATAGTAATTATAATAGGCTATTATATTTCAGGATACATAATGCTATTTTCCCAATTTCTACTTTCGACTTCTTTTCTTCTAATATTTCTTGCGTTGGTGGCTTCTCAGCCTGATATACCTCAAATGATTGACAGATGGGAAGCCCGGGAGTGTCTGTGCTTCCAAAGGGACAGGGATCCAGGATGGGAGAGAATTAGGCTGTGGGGCCGGTTGATACTGGGGTGGGGTGGGGGGCAGGATTTTCACGTGGCTTTGAAGAAAGTCCTGTCATCCAAGGGGAGAAAGTGGGTTCTCAGGAGAAGGAATTGGCTCAGGGAGACTCAGCCATGAGTCTCAGGTACTTTGGAAGTCACCTGGCGAGGGCTGGATTAGAACACAGAACAGAAGGAAGGAAATGGAGGGCCTTTGGGAGAGTTGCCACTGTGGAGCAGAGGATCAATCAGTCTCTATGAAAACAACTTGAATTTTTCCTTGAACTTCTCCGCCATCAGCATGTCTTCCGTGTAATAAGGAGCATCCCCATTCTTCTGCACCAGTTGATCAATCATGGTCATCAGCTGGGCCACCTGAGCCTCTCGTTCTTCTCCTGTGGCCTTGTTGCCGAAAGCCAAGAACCGGTTCCCACAATGGTATGCCTCTTCCCTAAAACAGACACCTTCCCCAGATATGTATTCCTCCAGAGACCTTCCGTCCAGGTCCTCTTTCCGGGTGAACAAGAGGATCATGTAATTCAGGGCCCTAAAGCTGAACATCTCTCTGATCAGCTGAGCCACTTCCTTCTCGTCATGGGAGAAAAGGCCAGGACGCACGATGCGCAGAATGACATGTGGACCCGGGAGCAAAACTTCATACACTTGCTCACTTCGGGAAGAGTTTCTCTCATGGGATAGCCAGTGTCCAAGATGCCAGGTGTATCGACCACCACAACCTTCCTGCCATTCAGCTGTGCCTCTTCTCTTTGGCAAGTTTTGGTCAGTAGTCTAAGTGACATCCCAGACTCAAAGGCTTTTCTTCCCAGAATTGTGTTTCCTGTTGCAGTTTTCCCGTTTCCGCCTTTGCCCACAAGGACGATCCTCCGCTCAGGTCCTACCAAACGGGGAAACAAGAAGGAGACGTGGTCAGCAGCTCCATCATTTTTCCCACCCCCCCCCCACCCTGCCAGCCCCCAGGGCTCATGGCTTTACCTCCGAAGTTTGCAGTCCTACCCAGAGGAGTCGCCCAGGACAGATCTGGCGGTTTCTGCATGAAAAGAGAAACAGAATCAGCCAAAGGAGAAGCTGCCTTGCTCAGAAGTGGCCAGGAAGTGTCCTCTCCCAGAACGAACAGGCAGGACCTGAAGGGGCCTTAAAAGAGGGTCACCCCCTCCTCACTGCCCTTGAGGCAGTCATCGGATCCCTTCCCCCCTTTTTATGCAACCCTTCAAACTTTTGGATTCTGCACTTTGGGGCTTTCGGGAACAGTGGGCATTGATGCCCCAAATGGCTGGCAGTTCCCCGCAGCCAATGCGATGCTGAAGGGATCCTGTTCTCTGGGCCTTCAGCTGCAATTCCAGAATGACACCAAGTGCTCCCCAGACCCTCGTCCTCCGGGTTCCTCTCCCACCTGTCTCTTTGCTGGTAGGAATCCTTCCCGGGGGTTGAGGGGAAGCTCTGTGGTGGAGGCTCTTTGTTCCAACCCCTTCCATCCTGGGCAAGCAACGTTTGCTGGAAATGCTGATTGCACCCATGCATGCCTGCCCCCACCTGATGCTGCCTCCTAGGATACTTCCCTGCCCTTTGGCACTCCTGTCAGGTCTGCCATCTCCAACATATGCAGCTTTGCTGGCATTTTGCCATGAAATGTAGGGAGAAGTCAGGGTGATAGGAGGGGGGAATGACAGGGTGTCAGGAACCAGAGGTGTTAGTCTGGAACAGTCCAGCTGATCAAGGACAGTGCTGGGAAGATGGAATGCAATGGGAGATATAAAAAATGCAGGCCTTGCTTGTGCTGTCACCAGTGATGGGATTCAACCAGTTCGCACCACTTCGGGAGAACCGGTGGTTAACTTTCTGAACAGTTTGGCAAACTGGTTGTTGGAAGAAATCATTAGGGCACAGAACCGGTTGTTAAATTACTTGAATCCCACCACTGGCTGTAACCACTTGACTTTAGTAAAACCAACACCTTCAATTCAACGATGGAATCGAGGGTCTTTCTTTCCTAAATGATCCAGTCGGGACAAGCCTGACAGTCTATGTTCAAGACCTCAAGGGCCCATCCCTCCAGCAATCTTGCTGAATTCAAGCAACTCTGATGCTCCCTCATCCCAAGCATAGGTGACTTGGATCAGGCCTGGCCCCCCCTAGGAGTTTCCCCCAAGTAGCCCTGCCAGGTCCCACTCAGCCTTGGGACACTCTGATGTGCTTGTCCCGTAAGTTGGGCTCCAACTACAGCCGGTTGACGTATCTCCCCCAATTCTCGGAAACAGTTCTCTGCAAAGTCTCCATCAGCTCAGAGACCTGCCTCTCCTGCTCAGCTCCCACAGCCCAATGATTGAACCCACAGACGGATCAGGCCCCACAGAGCCTCGTTGTTGGACTAAGAGGAGGAAGAGGAGCTGCTTTTGATTCTTGGGAGCCTAAAGATTTGGAGGATCGAGTAGAGACAGAGCGACATTCTCTCTTTGGTATTTTGGTGTGGTGAGTATTTTTTCTCTCGCTTTGACTTTTACATCTCCTATGTGGGACAAACAGGAAGGCAATTAAAAACAAGAGTTTGTGAATATCAACTAGAACTTAAACAGCACAACCAAAAATCCCTGATCTCGACCCACATTGACAATGAACAACAGCTGTTCGATTGGGAAGGAACAAAAATCATCGGCCATATCAGCACCCACCACACACATGAATTTATTGAAGTCTGGTATTCTATCAAAAGGGATGCAGTGGCTCAGTGGCTAAGACACTGAGCTTGTCGATCAAAAGGTTGGCAGTTCAGCGGTTCGAATCCCTAGTGCCGCGTAACGGGGTGATTTCCCATTACTTGTCACAGCTTCTGCCAACCTAGCAGTTCGAAAGCAGGTAAAAAATGCAAGTAGAAAAATAGGGACCACCTTTGGTGGAAAGGTAACAGCGTTCCGTGCGCCTTTGGCATTCAGTCATGCCGGTCACATGACCACGGAGACGTCTTCGGACAGCGCTGGCTCTTCGGCTTTGAAACGGAGATGAGCACCGCCCCCTAGAGTCGGGAACGACTAGCACATATGTGCGAGGGGAACCTTTACCTTCTTATTCTACCAAAGGAGCAATTCACAAGCATATGGATCTAGATCCAGGATATGAATACATAAGAAACCAGACTATTCGAACGACCAATCAACAAGCGAACCAATCAGCTGCTCAGAATTCAAATATAGCTCCAAACAAACAACCAATCACACGACCTACTGACCTACTGACCCACAAGACATTGATAAGCTAAGAAAAATAGGACAAGAAAATCCTGCTGATGACGTTACCTAGCCTGGTAATGAAATGTTCAGAAATGAAATTGAAACAAGCTTGGAGAGTAAACCTTGGCCAACATCTCATATGTCTCCAGCTCCCAGAATGGACTTCCAGGCACCCCTTCACATAAGCCAGAGCATGAGGGTCCCCAATTACACCTACACACCCCAACTGCAGCCATAAATTTTTGAATCCCACCATGAAGTCAAATGGGATCAAATTATTCTCCAGAGCACCATAGGCAGGGGCGAAATGCTACCGGTTTGCTCCAGTTCGAGCAAACCGGTAGTAAAAGAAAAAGCTACCGGGAGGACTTCCAGTGGCATCGCAGGCGCTGACAGATGCTCCTTTCGGACTGTCAGCCCCGCGATTTTGTTAAAACTGCCAAGACAGTGCAAATCAGCTGTCTGGTGGCTTGGAAACCTTCCCCTCGAGAGAAGAGAGGAAGGTGAGCAGCCGGACTAAGGTAGAGCTCCCCAAAAGCCCTAGGAGCAATTCTGGGGCTTGGAGGGTGAGAGCTCCCTGGTAGTCTAGCTGAGCTCCGAATCTGATGCTTTTCTGCTTCAAGCAGAACAAGACACCGTGACCACCCCTGCAATCAACATTCAGATTCAAAATAAGCTTAAAGCAGGCAGAACAAAAACAGGAGTCCTAGCAACTGCAAGTACTGAACTTTAACTCTGTGTCTATATTTCTTCCTTCTAAGACTTTTAAAATGAAAGCAAAAATGGCGCCTGAACTGTAACAGGGCATGAAAGTGAAAGTGATAGTGAAAGTGATAGTTAACATCGTTAGCGCTTCTGAGGCTGTTTAAGATTGCTGGGTTCTACAACAAAGAAAGAAAGATTTAAAGTGGAAAGGCTACACTTTGGATTTTAAATAAACTATAATACTTTTAAAAGATTTTAAAATATTTGGATTTATTGATTTGGTTGCTGTAGGAAGTATAAATTGAAAGCTAAAAATGGCTTCTAAGCAGATAAAATCTGGCTTTAAAAGTGCTGGAGGATCGCCAGCACAACCATCAAAACTACAATCTTTGTCTACTTCAAACCCACAAATATTGACTTTGGAAGTTCTACAGGAATCTCTGCAGGACGCTTTGAAGCAACAAACCTCTTTTTTAGAGGAGAAAATTAAGGGAGTGTCTGAAGAAATGGCTGAAATTAAAGAAGTTATACAAATTCGGAATAAGGAAATAAGAGAAGACATAGTAATGGCATTTCAGGGTCTGGCAAAACACATTGAATTGTTGGATGAAAGAGTAGAAGAAATTAACCAGTCCAATCTGAATTTGGAAAATAAAATGGATGAAGTTCAGACCAAGGTGGAAAGGGCAGACGATGAAGTGGTGATGTTACAGTATAGCGCGATGGAATTTGCCCTGAGAGTAAGAGGTTTGAGAGAACACAATCGAGAGAACTTGAGAGAGATCTTTGCAGAGGCTTTTGCATAGATAATGGAGAGCAACAAGCAGATCTCTCATTGCAAATTGACAAAATATATCGTGCTAATTCCTGGTTTGCCAGACAGAATCAATTGCCAAGAGACATTGTGATTTATTTTACAACGAGTAGGACCCGAAATGAAATTTTACAAGCTTTCTATAAAAATAAACTTCAAATTGCAGGACAAGAGGTTTTAGTGCTGAAAGAAATTTCCCCAAAAATGTTGAGAAGCAGAAAGGAGTTTGCTTTCTTGGTGGATGAACTTAGAAAATGACAGATTCAGTTTAGATGGGATGTTCCAGTTGGACTAATGGTGAATTATATGGGAGAAAGGTATCGCCTTAACACAATTTGGAAGGCAAGAAATTTTTATACTAATGTATTAAAGGCTGGATGCCCACCATCTCAGGAAATGAGGAGAAGAAAAGAAGAGCTGGCAATACAGGGACAGAAGGAAAGTAAACAGCCACAAGCTGCAGGAGAGACCTCGCTTATTGAAGAAGATTTATTGCGAAGGTTGTTGAGAGTGTGGTTGCGCAACAGCCTCCGCAGTACCTGGATGAAACCGTGTATCTAGACCCATGCCGGTTCAGCTTCAGGCCTGGATACAGCACGGAAACGGCATTGGTCGCGTTGGTTGATGATCCCTGGAGGGCTCGGGACAGGGGTTGTTCCTCTGTTCTGGTCCTATTAGATCTCTCAACAGTTTTTGATACCATCAACCATGGTATCATGCTGCACCAGCTGGAGGGATTGGGGTGGGAGGCACTGTGTTGCGGTGGTTCTCCTCCTATCTCTCTGACCGGTCACAGTCTGTGTTGGCAGAGGGGCAGAGGTCGACCTCGAGGTGCCTTGTTTGTGGGGTGCCACAAGGGTCGGTCCTCTCGCCACTCCTGTTCAACATTTATGTGAAGCCACTGGGTGAGATCATCCGTGGATTTGGGGTGCGGTGCCATCTGTACGCTGATGACACTCAGCTGTACATCTCCACCCCAAACCACCCCAACGATGCCCTTGAAGTGATGTCCCAGTGTCTGGAGGCCGTGCAGGTCTGGATGGGGAGAACAGGCTTTGACTCAACCCTTCCAAGACCGAGTGGCTGTGGATGCCGGCATCCCGATATAGCCAGCTGATGCCATCGCTGGCTATTGGGGCGAGTCATTGACCCCCACAGAGGGTGCTCGCAACTTGGGATCCTCCTGGACACACGGCTGTCTTTAGAAGAGCACACAATGGCCGTTGCCAGAGGGGCTTTTTATCAGATTCGCCTGATACGCCAGTTGTACCCCTTTCTGAGTCGGGATTCCTTATGCACAGTCACTCATGCTCTCGTCACTTCTCGCCTGGACTACTGCAACGCTCTCTACATGGGGCTCCCCTTGAGGAGCACCCAGAGGCTCCAACTGGTCCAGAATGTGGCCGCGCAGGTGATTACGGGAGCGACATGGCGCTCCCATATAAGACCTCTCCTGCGCGAGCTGCACTGGCTCCCAGTGGTCTTCCAGGAGCGCTTCAAGGTGTTGGTTCTCACCTTTAAAGCACTCCATGGCTTAGGGCCAGGGTATTTACGAGACCGCCTTCTGCTACCGATAACCTCCCACTGGCCAATACGCTCTCACAGAGAGGGCCTCCTCAGGGTGCCGTCGGTCAGGCAATGTCGGCTGGCGTCCCCCAGGGGGAGAGCCTTTTGTGTGGGAGCACCCGCCCTCTGGAATGAGCTACCTCCTGGAATACGGTTGATACCGGATCTCCGCACTTTCCGTAAGGCCCTGAAGACGTTTTTATTTCAGCAAGCCAGCCTGGCCTGAATAGGTTTTATGGGTTAGTTTTTAATTGTGTAGCTTGGGGTTTTAAATTAGGAGGCCGATTAATTTAATTTATTTTTAGTTATCTTAACTTTCATATTGTATGTTATTTTAATTTTCGGCTGTTCACCGACCTGAGTCCCTTCAGGGAGAAGGGCGGTATATAAATTCAATAAATAATAATAATAATAATAATAATAATAATAATAATAATAATAATAATAATAATAAAAAAGATCATAGTCAACCTAAGAATTATAGGCCAATATTGCTTTTAAATACTGATTATAAGATTTTTGCTGAAATACTAGCAAATAGGTTAATGGTAATTATGCGAAAAATGATTCATAATGACCAATCTGGATTTATAAGTGGGAGACAAATGAAAGGTAATGTAAGACAAATTGTAAACTTATTGGAATATTTGGAAAGGAACAACCAAGTCCCTGCAGCACTTATCTTTTTGGATGCGGAGAAGGCATTTGATTAATTGAATTGGCAATTTTTATTGAAAATAATAGAAAAGATGCAGTGTGGAGAATACTTTACACAATCTATTAGGGCAATATATCAGAGACAAACAGCACAAATAATAATTAATGGTGGTTTAACAGAAACTTTTAAAATTGAAAAAGGAACAAGACAGGGATGCCCCTTATCACCATTATTGCTTATTTTAACTTTGGAACCTTTACTGAATAAAATACGAGGGTCAAATAAAATAAAGGGAATTAAAATTAGACATCATGACTATAGATTAAGAGCATTTGCGGATGACTTGGTTGTTACTTTAACCCAACCAGTACAATCAGTTACAGGCTTACTGGATATAATTAGCCAATACGGTCAAATGTCTGGATTTAAAATAAATAAACAAAAAACAAAGATAATAGCTAAAAATATGACGGTAAAGCAAAAAGAAGAACTAGAAAGACTAACAGGATTTGAAATAGTAAAAAAGGTTAAATATTTAGGGGTATATATTACAGCCTCAAATGTAAAATTATATAAAAATGATTATGAATTGCTATGGCAAAAAATACAGAAAGAGATGGAGAATTGGGGAAAACTACAATTATCTCTGTTGGGGAGAATAGCAGCAATAAAAATGAATGTTTTACCTAGGTTTTTATTTTTGTTTCAAATGATACCAATACTTAAGAAAGATGATAATTTGAGGGAATGGCAGAAGGGTATTAATAATTTTGTTTGGGCAGGGAAAAGACCGAGATAATGCAAGATATATGTGAAAGAGAAGGTCTTAAAATGCCTAATCTAAGATTATACTATGAAGCAGCTGTTTTAATAATAATTAGTGAGTGGATTAATTCAACAGAAGAAAGAATATTGAATATTGAAGGATATGATGGCTGGCATGCTTATTTATTATATGACAAAAAGGTGGATAAGACCTTTAAAAGCCATATACTAAGGAATGCCTTGTTACGAGCTTGGAAGAAGTATCAATATAAGTTAAATTATAAGATACCTATATGGGCAATACCCAGACATGAGGTAGAGAATATAAGTGTAGAACAAAAGCAAGAGGTGATTACCTATAAAGAGCTTCTTAAAATGGAAGGCGGTATATTGCAGTTAAAAATCTATAAAGGCATTAAAAGAAGAAAAAATAATTCAAACTTGGTTTCAGTATGGACAGTTGCAAGCTAGATGGAAAGAAGACCAGAGAATTGGTATCATGCAGAAGGAGGAAAATTTGGTAAAACAAATTAGAGATCAAAGCCAAATGCATATAAAAAGATTATATAATATATTGATAGAAATAGACTCAGAAACGGAATTAGTTAAGGATTGCATGATAAATGGGGTACAAAACATTCAGGAACCAATAATGATGGAAACTTGGGAAAAAATATGGGTTAGAAATGTAAAATTTACGCAAGCACAAAATTTAAGAGAAAATGTTTATAAAATGTTCTATAGATGGCATTTAGATCCTAAAAAGTTGGCTTGTATGTATCCAAATTTGCAATCTAAGTGTTGGAGATGTGATTGTGATGATGCTACTTATTATCACATATGGTGGACTTGTAAAAAAGTTAAAGCATTTTAGATTAAAATATGGTGAATTATCCAAAATATTCTTAAAAAGAAGATAAAGTTTACTCCACAATTGTTTTTGTTGGGTATAATCACAGATTATACGGTTATAGAGACTAAATTGATTTTAAATTTAATAACTGCAGCTAGACTTTTGGTAGCACAATATTGGAAGAAGGAAGATTTGCCTACTATTGAAGAATGGACATTAAAAGTGGCCAATTTGGCAGAAATGGTGAAAATTTCAGCATATTTGAAAGATCATTCACAAGAAAGATATATATCGGAATGGAGAAGATGGATTGATTATATTCAAAACAAATATCAGACTAAAAAGTATCAAATAGCTTATGAATGAATAGAAAAGTTAAGAGTATGTATATTTAGTTAAGTAAAAGGCGAGTTAAAGTGTCGAGGGGGGGATAGGAATCTGTAGTTAGTTAGTTTAGCTTAGCATATGATTGTTAATTGTTTTACCCTGTATTTTGTTATGGGAAGTCCGGGGGGGGGCAAGGGGGGCGGGGAGGGGGGGGAAGGAAGGGGGGGGAAGGGGAAATATTTGAATTTTTTTTCTTTTTTGTAAAACTTTTTAATAAAAAAAGAAAGAAAAGGAAAAAAAGAACTGGTAGCAAACTGGTTCGGATTTCACCACTGACCAGAAGGCAGAGCAAGAAACAACGGCTGGGAATTAATCCAAAAGAGAAGCAAGAGAAACAGGACAAAGCAGGGATTCTAAGAATCTCTCTTTTACAGTCGGATGTGGGAAGCGGTACCAGAGGTTCCAAACACTGTAGGAGATGCCAGGGAATTCTCTCTGCTCTCCTCCTCACATTCACCCAGAAGAGAATTACCTGTTCAGTCTTCTCTGCAGGATAGATGCAAGTGGTCTCCTCACTCCATCGGCTGATCTCAAGATGTGTCACAGCAGCACATCGGAATTGGTACTGAGTAGTGAGGTGCACATTTTCTAGGGTGAATTCATTCTTAGAACCTTCTACATGGAGACTTTTCCAGTTCTCCTCTCCTGCAGCCCGATATGCCACTTGGTACCCAGAGATTGAAGCCATCGCTTCGGCCATTGGATTAATAGTGATCAGGAAACTATTTGGTTTGACAGGCTGAACCTTAAGAGAGGGAGGACTTCTAAGAGCAGCTTCCAGCTCCTGACGTTCCTTGAGGATGTCCATGGTCAAGGTTAAACTTTTGGTCTCCACCATCTTTAAAGAGTCAAAGAAATCCTTCATGCTCTCAGTGCTCATTTTCCAGAACATTTCAGCAACCGCATTACGGCTTCCTCCATTTTGGGTGGGAGCAAAGAGAGCTGAATGGTTGAATCTGAAGTGCAGAGGGGTTCCTGACTCATCCTGAGCACACGGCAGGTCAGCCTCCTTGAGGGCCTCCAGGACAGGTGGGGTCCCCCCATCCGCAAAGGTGATCAGGAGTTGGATGTTATCCTTCACATTTTCCCAACATGGAGAGCATGGAATCAAAGACACATTTCTGGGCATGAGTTGAATGGGAAAGGAAGGCTTGGGCCACCAAGCAGATGGCATCCACGTGGTCAATGCCCCCTGGGGTGGAGAAAAACTCCAGGAGCTGTTTCTCAACCAGTTTGTCTTGCTCTGCATCGCCAAATCCTGGCGTGTCAATGATTGTGAGAGAAAAGGGAATTCGGAAACATTTCTGATGGTTCACCATGTAGGCTGTCACTTCAGACGTCCTGCTTCCAGCTTTACTTCTTTGGGTGATTTCATGAATGAGTTTGAATCTGAAATTATCTTCCCACTGGACACCCAGAATATAATTGATCATCCCGTTGATCAGAGTGGTTTTCCCAGACAGGGTTGCTCCCATCACCAGGATGACTTTGTTGGGCACTTCCAGGCTCTCCTTTCCAAGCTGGTACATGAGACAGGAGGTGGAGGCAACTGAGGGGACTTCCTCCAGAGTAAGTGCAAACACTAATGGCTGGCTGTCCTCCACCAGGAACCTTTTCTGAAGGAACTGTTGGGCTATGTTGTCTCTGCCTTCTTTTTCCAGTGATGTGGAGACCTCCAACTCCTCACTGGGGACACCCAGAGTTCCATTATCACACACGGCCAACACCCGTATTCTGTACACTGTCTGGGGATTCAGACCTTCGATAGAGTAAAATTCTGTTTTTCTCCCAGTCCTTTTTTCAGCCCATTGGTCCTTCCCAACTCCAGCCTCCACCGTTCTGTACTCCACCTTGTACTCCTTGACCACAATTCCTGAGGCAACGATGCTGGGACTCATCCAGGCCACAGAGATGACAGAAGATGCTGCAGTGACCATTCTTAATTCCCCAGGAGGGCTGGTGGGAAGGGTCTTTATGGGTGGGCTCAGGTCACTGGTTCTACCATGGCCTACCTTGCAACAAGCAGCATACTGGAACTGGTACTCTGTGTTTGGAGGTAGATCTTTCAGCAGGAACATCTCCCTGTTGTCCTCTGTCCTCATGGTCTTCCAGTTATCTTCCCCTGCAACCTTGTACTTTACCAGATAGTTGGAGATGGAAGCCTTTCCATATTCAGCTGGCTGAAACTTCAGTTGAATGCTGTCGTGTCTCAGTTCACTGATCAGGAATTGGAGTGGTTTTGAGGGCAACTCATAGTTCTTGCTGACCAGCTCTCCATCCTCATAAAAGTGTACTGAGGCTCCTGGGGTGTCCACATCTGGTTTTGAGGCCACAACAAAGCGGACCTTCTCATTGGATTGATTGATACTGAAAAAGTCTTTGATGGATTTTGCAGCTTGGCGAGAATTGCGGGTCCTCTCCTTGTCTTCAAACCAGGCCATGCCTTCCTTCACCCCAGGACTGGATCTTGTGGACTTGGTTGATTCTTGCAAGAATTGCTCCTGAAGCCACTTCTGTAAGCTCAACAGAAATGGCTCCTCTTCACGTAAAGAAGTGAATGTAAAGGAGACCACATGTACATTCTGGGGGTCCAGAACTATTTCTTCCAGCTTGTTCTGAGATGAGATAACTTCTATATTATTTAGAATAGTCAGATAAGATTTGACAAAGTTAATTTCTCTTTTTTTGCTGTCCAGAAATTGATGGAGTCTTTGGCTGTTGAAGGGCGACTGGTTGACGGACATCAAGAGGTCCACCAGGGTCCCTTCCTCCTGCCCTCCTCCCCGGATGGAAGGCAACATTCTGGCCAGCTCTTTCTGGAAAGTCTGCCTGTGTTGCTTGCAGAGATCCTTGAACTGCTGGATCTTCCTCTGGATCTCAGGGAAGGTCTCAGCAATGGGATTCTTGGCTAGATCGTTGCTTTGCATCTGGATTTCATTGAGATCCTCCAAGATCATTTTAGCATCAAAGATCAACGTTAGGCTGATCTCACGGACCATCTTAGCTGCTGTGGTGTCCAGCTTGGTCAGAGGGTAGAGCCAGACCCTCATAGGCACAGCATTCTCCCCATCTTTCCCTAACATTTTTGGTAGAGTTTCATAAACTTTCATGGCATCTTGGAAAGTGACTGGATTTTTCTCCAAAGAAAAGTCTCCATGGAATTTGCACCTGAACTTCAGAGCATCCTCTTTCTCCTTCGCAGTCAGTTGGACCTCTGCTTCTCCTCCAATAGATATTTCCTTCGTGAGTGTAGCCCGGAGGTTTCCCTCTATATTTTTTACCATCTCCTTTGAAGAAACTTCTCGGTCAAAGACAAAAAAGGCCTGGGCTCCATAGAGGATGGCGGTGACCACATGGGTGGCTGTGCCATGCTCAAAGACGGCTTTGTGAGAGATATTCTGGATTCCTGTGGATTTCCTGGTGGTTCTGTTGTCAGCTGTTCATACCTGGTGGTGGTTTTGTACTGAACGGTGACTCTGGCCTGTTTCTTGGACTTCTTTTTGTCATGAAGATACTTGGCTGACCCTCCCACTTCAACCAGCCCTCCCAGGAAACTGGCCGTGAGGGAGGCTGAGATGTCCAGGGCAGAGCTCTTATCATCTATGCTGTCGGATGCAATGATTTCAGATTCAGTTTTGGGCTGAGGCTTGATGGTCAGGTCCTTCTGAAGAGAGTCGTAATCCCAAAGGGTGACTCCTGCATGGAACAGAAGAAAACAGGGACATGAATTGAACACTGTCTTCCAAAACACCTGCAGCTGGACAGAGGAGCTCCAGAGAGATGGGACAAGGGAGACATCATTTCCTCTAGTGGGCTCCTTCATTTGTTCTGTCTGACCATCACCTGCATGTTTTGCAAAATACCACAAACTCCAAAGGCTTTTGACTGAGTAGAGGGGAATGGGAACTGCTATGCACCTCTTGATCTCCACTCCCTGGAGAAACTATGATTTTCATCACATGTTCTGACGTGATTTCTCTGTTCAGACCCCCCTCAGGAAAGGCACATCCCTCACTTCACCACTCTGTGAGATCTGAACTCCTTTTTAAAATCATTTACCAAACCATTTCAGTGACTTTGGTTCGGGAGAGGAAAATTCATCCCATGATTGGCAGTCAAGGGTGCCCCGCTGTGTGCCTGGCCAAAAGGTGGATATGCATTCCTAGGCAGAAGTCCCTACTTGCCTAGCTGCTACCATATTTCCCCCAAAAAAGCCCCACCCTGATTTTGTTGGGGTGGTGGTGGGCTTAATATAACTCTCTTCCCCAAAATAAACCCGGTTGTTGGGTGTGGCCCACCGGCCCCTTGGTGCAGTGCAGATACTGCTAATTCTGGCCGCAGAGGCAGAGTGGGGGGAGAGAGAGGTGATCCAGATGTGCCGCACAGTTGCCTGGCTCCCAGGAGGCTCGTGGGAGGCTTATGCAGCATCACGGGCAGAGGGTGGAGATGGAGGCATGGGGGGTGGGGGAACAATCCTGATGCCTACTCCATGCAGCCACAAGCAAGCCCAGAGAAAAACCGGACTTCCCTTTGCCGCTTGGCACAGCACTGATACTGTTAAGTCCAAGGGCAGAGGGAGATGCAGTGGGGAGGAAGGAGATTGTTTCAAGGTAGATTTATTCATCAGTAAAAGCCCCCTCTCCCCCTTAACAAACCATCATTACAGGTATATATCTACATAAGGCAGGAACCATAACTACCTCACAGACGCAGCTGAAGGCAGCTCCTCGAGAGTCAGGAATACATCTCAAACAGATTCTGCCAAGGCTGCAGACATAAACCCTGTAACAGAGATCTGGACAGGCTGCATGGCTGCGTGTCAGCTTTGGAAGCCATATTAGCCCTGGAAGTTTCCACGCTGCCACCTTCTCATGTGTGGGAAAGTAGGAGGGGGGATTCAGTAGAGGGAATGTAGTTAGACAAAATAGCATTCTTCCTTTCGGTCAAGGTCGTGACAGTCCTGCATCTGGAGAAGGAGTGGTCGGAGTGATGTCTCGAGATGGGACGGATGGGGATTGGGACGTGTGAGGGACCGATGGGTGCAGGGGATGGATTTGGGGGTTTTGAGTCACTGAGGGAAAACCCGGAACTCTCAGATTTGGGCTTTTTTTCCAGATGTGCCAGTATATCTATTCTAATAAATGGAACGTTGAGAAAATGCTTGCCTTGGAGTTTTTAATTGGAGTTGGGGTTTTCTGGAACGCTGACACTGCGTGGCTCACAGGAGGAGAGTAGGAGGCTTGTGCGGCAGCACCGGCAAGAGGTGGAGGAGGAGAGTGGGGGCAGCCAATCCTGATGCCCCGCACAGACGCCTATCCGGCAGGGCCACACACAAACCAAGTCACAGTGGGACAGAGCGGGTGGCACATTGGGATTGCCTGCCTCCCCCCCACCCCCAGCCCCGTGCCTCTGGCTTCACCTGGCTTCACCCCACACTATTCACCCAGAGGGAGACGAAGCTTCATCTGTTTGCAAATGGGACACTTTGAAACAGAGCTAATTGCTCCTTTTCAAAGTCTCCCATTTGCAAGCAGGTGAAGCTTTGAGCCTCCCTGATTTCTCTGTCCGGGCAAAAAGTGTTTGGGTGCCTATGGATCACTTGCTAACAGAGCATTTTGGCTGGCTGCGTCGCTTGGCCTCCTGCTCCAGTGCTGGGCTGGTACGGGAAGAAGTGAGCCAGTGGCCACGTGGACTCCTACTGCGCATGCAGGTGCTGACGCAGTGAGGCAGTGGTCAGAGCGTAGAGCCACGGGGCTCCTAAGGGGAGCCGGTGTGCATGTCGGGCACTTCCATGCCTGCCTCGTCATGGTGGCACTCAAAAAGTTAAGACACTCCCGAAAATAAGCCCTAGTGCTTATTTAAGGGCCC